AAAATACCTACATGAAATGATTTTAGAAAGTAAAAGATGGTTTAATTTAAGTGTTTTCTCGGTGTACATCTACTTATATTATTGTATAAGTGTAATATGGTTGTGATAGAGACATTTAAAGATCCCAAAATTGCTTGACCTTGACGAGTCGAGTATAAAGCACAACCTCACGCGCTTCGCGCTATGAGGCGTGCAAAAATTTCAAATTAAAAATAATGAAATTAATAATCTTAGGTAATCCAACAAAATGTCCGTGGAATGGGTATGCCTCCACGTGCTGGTATTCAGCCGTCTCAACAACGTTACCCCCCACCAATTCAGCGACCAGTGGTACCATTTCCACCCGGTCCTAATCCCAATAACCCCAATCAGCAACAACAAAACTGTATACCAGCTCAACAAAATCAAGTAAACCGACACAGGCCAAACTTACACCAACAACAACAACGTAATATGAAATTGCAGCAGCAATATTATTCGGGGCAAGGTCAGTTTCGAAATGGTTAGTTACATTTTTATTACTCGTATTAATAAATGAATGAATTTTTTTTTAATTTTTTTTTTTTTTTTTATTAATTATTCTGGTATAATTTTTTTTTTTCAGTCTTAAACTAAGATTGACTTTAATTTTTAGGCAACAAAATGGATCCAAGCGACAAAGCAGACTCTCACAACGACAAAATAGTTGACGGCAATACCGGTGGCCAGGGTACTGGCAATAAATCAAATGTATCTCAACAAGACGGCGACGTTAAGGAAGAAGTTAACCAACAGAACGAATAAAATATAATCAAGAGATAAAAATAAAAAACTCTTACTATTTAAAGTATCATTAGATAACTCGAGGATTACACTACACTTGAATATTAAATTATCAAATGGCTAAAAATAATAATTAATACCTCACTGAGGATTTATTGATAATTATGGGGAAAAAAAAAAAATAAAAAAACATATTAATAATTAATCAACACAATTATCGACACACATATAGTGGACACGTATATTTAATCAATTATGGATTGCACTGCTGATAAGAACGTGCAAACACTATCTTATTAACTATCGTAGTCGATTAGTTCGATGCATCATGGATAAACAAATATTTATAAAGAAAAAAAAATCTATAAAATAAAATAAAATACATCAAAAAAAAAAAAAAAAAAAACCTTAAACAGCAGTTATGAAGATAAACAAAAAATAAAGAAGCCAGACCGCAGGACGTGTATGCATACTTTGCCTTCGTAGCTTAGCGTGAAAATTGCTCTACCCATTGTTCATACTCAGAAAAATAAACAAATACTTAACCGAAAGTATTTAACAGCAACAACTTTAACAACAAGAATAATAAAGAATTTTATTTAATCGTTGGAGATTCCTACGATTATTTTTTCTTTGTGAATTTTTCCAGACTTTATACACATATATTAATTAATATTATTATACTTGATACATGATATAAAAAAAAAAAAAGCCGAAACCACCAACGTGATCTTTCATACGGAATCAGATGTCTTGACTCTTGCGGCACTTGTGAAGATGAACCCTGCGTTAATAGTCAAAGCTTGTGTTTTGTATGAATATAAAGTTATGAAAAAAAAATAAAAAAAAAAAAGAAAATGGACTGTCTCGTTGAGCGGGCAAGTGAATTTTAAAAAGAGTGTTTTGGATTGTAAAATGTATGACGACTGACTTAACAAAGGCTGATACTGAGTTGTGCGGTGGTTTAATTAAAATTCCATCGTCTCTTGGTAGTCCGTCTTTTCCGTGGAGGAATCACATTTTATACAACAACTATTAAATTGAAATATTTAAATAAAAAATCCGCTTATGCATCGTGAGGGATTTAGTGCATTTGTTTTAATTATAACTACTAATTAATATTATAATTATTATTATTGATTAATTGTATTGCACCGTACTTCCTCACAATTGAGCAAAGGTTTAAAAGTAACATGTGCTACCGTATAAAAAAAAAAAAATAAAATAATCCACGAATAAGTCAGGAGACAATATTGTATATTTTCCTGCTTTACATTGCAGAGCATTGATTATAAATATTGATTGATGCTGATTAAATAAATTTAAAAAATAAATAACACAAGAATTAATTAATTTATAAAGGCTAGTATTTACAAAAAAAAAAAAATAAAACTGTTGCTAGTTTTTATTAAAAGCGTTCTGCGGTCCATTCGTGTTTATACTAATAATAAATTAATTAATTAATAATTAATTAATTAATTGACGTGAAAATATATTATTATTTTATCTCTCTTAGATCTCAAGCAAGCGGCCAGGGAACTAAGGAACGAACATTGATATATAAATTCATTTAATCTACTGCCAGTCGTACGTCGACATTAAATTAAACCATTATTATTAACAACAAATAAATTTTTTTCACGTCTATAATTTGGGTCGAGTCGCGATAAAATATGTCGCTGTGTCGAGTGGTTGATACTAATCGAGAAATGTCTAATGAGGTGTAATTATTAATTTTTAAAAAATAATTAATGAATATATAAAGAATTATTATTAAGCAATGGCGTTTGAAATTATATAACAGGTATAGGTCGCCTAAGATTTAGATGAGTGGTAAATAATTATAAATAATAATAATAATAATAATAATAATAAATGTGTAATTAATAATTAAAGTCTCTGTCACACTGTCCTTTTCTGCAATTACACGATAAAGTGCAACGGTAATTAAACTAAAAAGAGTAATAAATACTATACGCGAATTTATGTAAATTGATAATTAAAAATAATTTTTTTTTTTTTGTGTACCTAGTTAAAAGTTAAATTTTAAATAATGAAACATATGTGGTACAATAAATAATTAAAAAATAATAAAATGAATTATTTAAAAGCGGATAATGAAGGTACGAGTGCCTTCAAAAATGTGCTGCCGCACAAATAAAGCAAAGCCACTTATTACCGGCGTGTTTTTTTTTTTATTTTAAATTTACAATAAATTTAGGGAATGAATTTATTATTCGCGAATTAGTTAAAATAATAATAATTATAATAATAATAATGATAATTATAATTACAATTACAATATTAAAAGTAATAACAACTTTACACCTCCTTTTTCACTTACATTGATTACTTTTACACTATCCGTTTATTAATTTTATTACTATTAAAATTATATTGATAATTATAATTATAATTAATAAAATAAATAAAATAAAGAAGGAATAAATTAAGAGGGGACTATTAATAACATGTACCTCGGGATATTTGTTTGTTTTGAATGCGAGCGAGCAAGAGTTGTATGAAAAAAAAAAATTTAATTTGTTTTTTTTTTCGTTAATTTTTTTTTTTTTTTTAAGTCTTAGGTAATTTATATAAGAATCGATAAAAATATAAACCGATAAAATGAATAATAAAGTCTGTTCAATCACGTCTGCCGCTTGTATGAAATAAATTTAAAAAAATGTGTATCGGACTTGGCTGTTGGCTTGAAGGTCTGCCGAGTTTAAATAAACGCAGTGCGTTTTTTTAAAATAATTACTTTTGCGGATTAATTATTAAATATATTAAAGAAAAATAATAAATTAAAAGAAATATTAATATGACTGACAATATGCGTGTAGATATATGTTTTAATTTTTGACAGAATTAATTATTAGTATTTAGATGGTGAATAAAATAAACTAAGTTGGTATTATTAATTAAATAATTAAAGGTAATTAATTAATTGGGACAGATCCTTCGAGCCGGTGCCGAGTCTGTGAATTAATCTGTAGTTGACCAGAAAACTTATATCACAATCTGCTACACGATGATTTTAAAATAATTAAAATTGATTGACGCTAAGAGATCGTAGAATATTTAAAATAAACACAGACCTGATGCAAGATATTATAGTTATTTAAAGTAAAATATGTAAATGAGAATAATTGTTAAGTAATTTAAGAATGACTTCCGATATGCTAGAACAATTGTTTCTCAACTTACTATTACTTGATAAACAAAAAGATTAATAAATTAATAATTATAAAAATTTTAAGAGACTAATTTTCTGTATTTCTTTTTTTTTAATTTTTTTTTAGACACTTGACAATTTTTATTTAAATATAAACTAAACAGTTGCATTTATTATTTTTTAAAGCTTCTGAATAATTTTTTTTGCTATAATTTATTAAAAAAATTATTAGATTTCTCAGTATAATTTTTTTTAAATATGTCAATAAAAATTTTAAGAGACTTTAATTTTCTGCATTTCTTTTTTTTTTTTTTTTGATAATTTAAAAATTTTTTTTATATATAAACTTAGTCTAAAAAATTGCATTTACTATTTTTTAAAGCTTCTAAATAATTTTTTTTTTACTATAATTTGTTTAAAAAAATTATCAGATTTCTTAGTATGATTTTTTTTAAGTATTTAAATAAAAATTTTAAAACTTTAATTTTCTGCATTTCTTCTTTTTTTTTTTTTAACAATTTTTTTTTAAATATAAACTAAGTCTAAAAAATAATTTATAAAAAATTGCATTTATTATTTTTTAAAGCTTCTAAATAAATTTTTTTTGCTATAATTTATGAAAAAAAAAAATTATCAGATCTCATAATTTTTTTTTTAATTTAAATAAAAATTTTCTTACCAATAATTCCTCAGCCACATATTTTTCACTTTCTCTTGATAAATCAGCACTTTAAAATTAAAAATCCTAAAAATTAAAAAAAATTGTACATAATTATGGATATGTACAATATTTATTTAAAATCGTTACAAATAAAAACATTTATACATATTTATATTAATATTCATAAATTTAAAAAATATAACCAAGCTTACACTTTAAATTATTTACACCCCCACATGCGAAACTTTAAATTTACTACCGTAATAAAAAAGAAAATCAATCTTTCACCGCAGCAGCATTATCACCCCAATCGTCAAAATCTTCAACCCAGCCATCATCATCTTCAATGTCTTGATTTCCATTTTTGACATCAAACACGCTTTTTTCCGGTTTGACTTGCTCGATGTGAACAACTTTTGGCTTCTCAATAACCGGCTCCATGTCTGTGAAAAAATCCACCTCTTCGGCAACTTGTTGCATTGTCTTGGAGTGTTTAATATCCAATTCTCGAATATCAGAAACAATAGTCTTCTTACTATAAGCCAGACTGTCTTTTTTGACCGTCGCTTCGGAGGTTTCCGGTTTCACCGGCAGAAATTCGTCATCTTGAATGGCTTCAGAGGGAACATCAATGTCAATTGTCTTGATAATGGTCACTTCATGAGCATCCCAGTCAGACCAAGTTGTTTCTTCTTCGGCTAAAATCAACGCAGATTCAATTCGGTCCTCTCCACCGTCTGGTGATGGTCTCTCTAGCAACTCAACTGGCAGACAGTCTATGCCATTATTATTAATAATATTATTGGTATTATTATGATTACTATTACTACTATTACTAGCCCTTTTGGACCTAGAAGAAGCTTCACGCCTAATTTGACCGTGATTAGGACGACCGTCAGTGAAGAGTTTACCGCGTTTGCCGCCTATCACTGCAGCAGCTCCTAATATTGGCACCAAGTCAGCCAGCGCTTGCAGTGTCACGCTGACCAAGTGATCGTCGTGGTCTTTTATTCCTACCAGAAGCTCAGGTAGAATTTGGTTTTTTAGTTCATCTATTTGAAAAGTGTAGATGAAGGAATTTAAATGCGATAATAATAACAGGCGTATTGATGTGTCGCGGACACAAAACATCTGCAGCAATTTTGGTACCAAGTGGCTTTTAAATGTTGAAACTGTAAAAAGACTCGTGTCTTCTTCATTGTCTTCCGTTTTTGGCTTCAGTACACATGGCAGTAATTTTTGTTGAGCTGTACTGTCCAGCAGTACCATTCGGGATAATAGTAGTCGGCCTAATTGGTCAGCTATTATTTTTTCAGGGAATGCTTTGAGTTGTGGTACAAGATTTCTGAAAATATAATTATTTTATAATTAATTGTTTATTTAATATAATTATTAAATATTATCCATCATTATTAATTATTAAAAAAAATTCTTTAATTAATAATTATTAGGTAATAAATTAATTTAATAAAAAAATAATTAATCAATAACTAGTCAACCTGCAGTCACTATGTGACTGCCGAAAATTGCGAACTATAATAAATAAAATTTTAATTAATTATATAATGAATTTTGTTAAGGTGTACTGTACTTTCTTAATTATTAACATTTTTTAAGATATAAGCTCATCCCGATGTTACACTCATTAAGAGCTTTCATTTGAGTACCCACTTGCATTTTTTATATATTTTTCATATATCCATATATATATAATAATAATAATAATAATATATAATATATATAAATATATAAAATATATGAAATATTGATATGGGTACTCAAATGAAAGCTCTTGATGAGTGTAACATCAGGATGAGCTTACATCTTTCAAAATGTCTATAGTTTACAAGATACAAGGTCATTTCTTTATTATGTAGTTAGAACTAGAGCATTTTTGAATGCAGTCTGAATACTTATCATAATAAATGAATTAAATAAAACTTACGAAAAAAATTCTTCTTTTTCAGTTTCACTTTTTAAAGGTAGTTCCATTAAAAATTCGTGAATATTTATAAAATCATGTGTAAAAAATGGATTAACTAATAAAGTCGACAATTTAGTCCTCAATAAAGGATCTGGATTTTGTAAACTACGTTTACAAATTTCTTTAAATTCTGCTAAAGCTGGTACGTCGTCTAAAAAAATAATTTTATTAATTAAAATTTTTAATAAATAATCACAAATTTAGTCTAGAATTTTACCAGAATTTTTTAGTCGCAAAACTTCTTCGGTGAGAACTCCAAAAGCGTACTGATCAATCCCGATAGGATTCAATTGAGTTTCTAGAGAATTTCCATCTTCTTCAGGAGCAATAGCCTTCTCATACCTGAAGTTCTTAATCTTCTTCAAGTACGCCTGATTGAAATCCGTGAACCTGCAAAGAAACTCGAGACCCCCGAGCTTCCAGGAGCCTTCTGGAGTGACGTAGATCGAACTGCTGCAGACGTTGTTGTGAGAAGCAAGAGCTTTCTCGTGTAAAAATATCAAAGCTCGGAGAATACTGTGGAGTCCAATGCAAATCTGGAGCGTAGTCTGGGAACCAATCACCTGGGCCAGTGGCTTCACTTCCTCAGTGGCCAGGTAGTAGCTGCTGCCTTTTCTCCATGAGGATATGTACTTCAGGATGCAAGGGTGGCGATGGAGCATCAAGTTCTAAAAAAAATTTAATAGTTTTAAGAATTTTATAACAATTAAATCATGGCAAAAAAAATTGACAAAGAAAAATAACAAAAACTGAAATATGCAATTTTTTAAAAATAAATTTTTGGAGCTAATTTGTTTGTTAAAAAATTGTCCAGTGACTGCTGACTTTAATGTCATTGGACTTTCAGGTTAAGTTACATTTATTTGTCAAAAGAATATAAATCAAATTGATAAATACCTTGGCTGTCCTTTCGAGAGGTGACGGCTTACCGAAGTTAGGACATGATTGCAAAGATGGTTCGCTGATAAATACCGATATTGTTGAAGAATTCGCGCCATTCAAATTGGCACTATGGTGCAGCCAGAAGTCTGTTATTTCAATAGCCTTTTCATCTATTTTCAGGCCACTCAGGGCACTTTTTTCATTTCCCATCGAGTCAATGGTCACTTTATTTATTGAAATATGCTTACTTTATTTTTTGTTATCTTGAATAACCTTCAAAGTCTAATAATTGGATTACTTGTTTACTTTTTACTTGTGGCTGTCACTGTATGTTAAAGGCCGTTCATGTGTGACGTCGCTGATCATTAACTGCGCGTACGCATTTTTTTTCTAATACTAGAATTTTTAAATAAAATTTTTTTTCTAATTACAAATAATGATACTGAAATTGAGTAGCATCTGGTCAAAAATTAACAATCGATGCATGATTGAAATTTTTAATTACCCAGCTACTTAACACAAATAAAAGAATTTTTCAAATAGATGTGTTTGATGTATGTATAGTCTTCATTTCTTTCAGATACATAAATTATAATGTTTTTTTTTCTTCAACCTGTTATGATTTTTTTTTTCACATTCAAAAATATATATTTTTTTCTCAAGAACATTTTTAATAAATTTTTTTAATAAAAATATGCTTCGATCACGTGGAATTTTCTTATTTAATTTTTCTATAATAATTTCATTACTATAATAAAATTATAAAAAAGCTATTTAATACCTGTCAACTTTATTCTCATCAATTTCTTGAATTTTTACAGCTAAATTTCTATGAAAAAATTTTAATCTCCACATCCCAAGCGACACAAAAAATTTTTTGGTAATATTTTGTTGAATCTAAGTTGACAATTATTAATTTTTGCTTTCTTGTTAAATAAAATTTACCAAAAAGTCAACAATTTTTCATGTGACACTTGGGATCTATAAATAAAAAAAAAAAAATTACAAGCACACTTTTGAAAATAATTTTTTTTTTTAAACCAAAAAATTGTCAGATGTCAGCTGATTAATGAAAATAAATTTTTATTCATTTATTTATTAAGACATAAGACACTAAATTTAATTAGCACCCATTTCTTTTCTAACCGCTTAAATCCAACACATGCGCAGTTGATAGATCACCAAATAATAATAATAAAAATAAGAATTAAACACTAGCGCCTCTATGCGAGAAAAAAAACTTGATTCAACGAAGAGATATTGGGGTGGGCGGGTATTGGTCTCACGGGTGGTGGAATGATCGTTCTTTCTCGTGTCTACTGTTGAAGAAGGTGCCTCGCAGCTTCTTCTCATCCCACCAAAATGGTAAGCATTTTATAAAACAATTATTACTTTTAAGAATAAAAATATTTTAACAATTGACTAAATTAATATTTTATAAAACTAAATCAGTAATTAAATTTTCATAATTTTGCAAGATGTTACAAATATTACTAGATTAACAAAAGTGATCGCGCGTCCATTCCTCAATCTATACCATGCGTTGCATTTAAGTTAGCTCTGTTCATTGATAATTAAATTTTATATCAATAAATAAGATAATTTTAATTTATTTTATTAATATTAATTATTATTTCAGGGTTTCGTCAAAGTAGTGAAAAACAAGCAGTACTTCAAGCGTTTCCAAGTTAAATTCAAGAGGCGTCGTGAGGGTAAAACCGACTACTATGCCCGTAAGCGCTTAACCATCCAAGACAAGAACAAGTACAACACCCCCAAGTACCGTTTGATCGTTCGTTTCTCGAACAAGAACATTACTTGCCAGGTCGCGTACTCCAGAATTGAGGGAGACAGAATCGTATGCGCTGCTTACAGCCACGAACTCCCCAAGTACGGAGTGAAGGTTGGACTTACCAACTATGCCGCTGCTTACTGCACTGGTCTTCTCCTCGCCAGAAGAGTAAGTAATTTTTTTCCATCAAAAAATTCATATTAAGAAAAAATTAAATTAGCCAGCATCTAAAAATTTTTATAATTTTTTTTATTGAAAAAAAAAAAAAAAAACATAGAAAGTTTCAAAAATATTAATTTAAAAGGAGATTTTTTTGTTCATTAAAAGATTGAAAAATTATTTAATGCCTGCTAATTATAATATAAAAAAAAAAAAAAGCTTTTCACATGATGATCCACTCAGCTCGCTTTGAGAATCCATGAAGAAACTTTGTTCCCTAATTTCTTTGACTGACAAGAAAAGTTTAAAAAATAATATTTTAAAAATAATTAACTTGAAATTCAAACAACTAATTTTAGAAACAATTAATTTTTTACAGCTGTTGAAGCAATTGGGCTTGGACAAACTCTACACCGGAATCTCTGAAGTAACCGGTGACGAGTACAACGTAGAAGAGTTGGACAATGGACCAGGAGCGTTCAGATGTTACTTGGACACCGGATTAATGCGTACCACCACTGGAGCACGTGTTTTCGGCGCCATGAAGGGTGCTGTTGACGGAGGTCTTAACATTCCCCACAGCACTAAGAGATTCCCTGGATACGACAATGAATCCAAGTCATTCAACGCTGACGTTCACCGTCAACACATCTTCGCCCAGCACATTGCTAACTACATGAAGCAGTTGGAAGAAGAAGACGAGGAAGCTTACAAGCGTCAATTCTCTCAGTACATCAAGAACGGAATCGCCGCTGATGCTGTATGTATATTAATTAATCATTAATTTAACATTCCTTTCTTCGTCCAATAAAAATTGTTTTGAGGTAAATTAGATCTCAATAACGTCGCAATTGGACAATATTGGTACATCGGTTGAGCGAAATGATTTATGCTCCTTTGTATTTTTCTCCATTAACCGTCTGTGACATTTACAGCTGTAATAACTGTTTATGTTTGATTTAATTATTGTTATTTTATTTATTCATTTTAATTTTTGCAGATTGAAGACATCTACAAGAAGGCCCACGCTGCAATTCGCGCCAACCCAGAATTCACAGCTACAGAGAGGACCAAGGAGCCAGTTAAGAAACGCTGGAACCGCGCTAAGATGTCGCTTTCTGAACGCAAGAACCGCGTTAATCAAAAGAAAGCATCTTTCATCAAAAAATTGGAGGAGGCCGAAGCTTAAAAAGCCGGTCGTAATCCTATTTTTGTACCTAAACAAATTAACGTTCACAGTGTCATTATATCTTGTTACATTAACATGTAGCCTGTGGACGATGGTACGAAAATTAAATAAAAAAATTGAAACGCCGATAGAATAATTATTTATTCAGAAGTACTTACACTACCTGTAATAATATTTATAATTTATTTATTTTTAGGATAATAATATGAAAAAACGCTTACCTTGAAGTTACAAGGCTGTGATATTTAAAAGACAAGAGATTTAATAAATATTTTTTTATTTTTAATATATCAATTCTGTATGATCATTTTATACAGCCATTAATTAATATTTTATTAGAAAAAATAGTTAAGGAATTAATGGGGTTATTTTAACAATGAACGACGGCACAAACGAGCTAGGAGGCTGTTGAGTTGCAGCAAGCTGTTGATTCCATCCAGAATGTCCAAATGCGTGATCCCGATTTCCTTTAAATTTATTAATTGTTAATGTCAAGAGTTATTTAATTTATTTATGTCGACACTGCCATTCAAATTAGATAAATTGCCTTTTTTTTTAAATATAAAATCACAGCAATGTTATAGAAGTCATTAAAAATTTAAAGGTCAAAAGTTTAATAACTATTTTTGAATAAATATTTTCATCCGTAGAATTGCATTTAATCAATGTTGAAAAAGAATTGTTTGCTGTAAAATTAATGAAAATTAATTTAGCATATATTTAATAATTTAAAAAATTTTAAGAACAAAAAAATTAGAAAAAAAATTGACCCGTAGAAATTTTAAAAAGTAAAAAATGCTGTTTTTTAAAAATAATTTTTTAGGACTAATTTTTTTGTTAGAAAAAAAAATTGTCAAGTGACTGCTAACATTAATGTCATGTAGAATCTTCTAAATTAAAACGGCAGTATTGATATGTAAAAAATGAAATATTAATATTAAATAAATTACTTTTATGTAATCTAACTTCAATGTCTCGTCAATTTGTAAATTTTTGCCGACTCTGAAGATATTACTGATCAAGTCTTCAGCAGAGTATCCGAGTTTCCACAAGCTGCTGAGGACATCGTAGGCTTTAGAAATTTTTCCCTGAGTACAGAGCTCCAGCATTTCTTTTATTACCAATGGATGAGGTTCGTCGCAGACTTTGAAGACATTCTCGCTGTTGACATGACCAAATCCATTGAAAGTTGACTGTAAATTGTTCAGTGCTTGTCTCATGTCTCCTTGCGCGGTGAATACAACTGCTTCCAAGCCGTCATTTGTATAAGACACCTGTTAAATATTTTATAAATATAAATAATAATTCTAACTAGTAGTTATTGAAATGAAAAAAAATAGCTTACATTTTCTTTTTCACAAACTTGAAGGATTTTAGCTAAAACTTGAGCATCAGTGAGTTTCCCATATCGCAGCATAGCACAGCGAGACTGAATAGGCTCAATGATTTTTTCACTGGTATTGCAAGCCAAAGCGAAGCGAGTGGTGTGGCTGAAGATCTCCATAGTACGTCTCAGAGCTTGCTGGGCTCCCTCGGTCATGCTGTCAGCTTCATCCAGAATGATAATCTTGTGGGTACCTGGTGGAAGATTGACCTTCTTCTGCGCAAAAATCTTTATCTTGTTCCTCACGACGTCAATACCGCGGTCGTTGGACGCGTTCAGCTCCAGCACGGTGTCTTTCAGCGTTGGTCCGAGGAGAGCGCGAGCCAGACACAAAATCGTGGTGGTTTTACCGACTCCTGGTGGACCCGCGATTATAATGTTAGGAGCGTTTCCATGCTTCGCGAACACTGCTAGTCTGGATACAGTGTCTTCGTTTCCTATGATGTCATCAAAAGTATGCGGTCTGTACTTTTCAATCCTAATAATTTAAAATTATTAGTTAGTATTTTATTCATTTAATTAAAATATGATCTTGAAATCAGCTGACATGATGATTTAATGATATTAAAGTTAGCAGTCACTTAACAATTTTTTAAAAAAACAAATTTGTTCCAAAAATTGCATTTTTAATTTTAAAAATTTTCTACTTGTCACTTTTTTTTTGGCCTTAATTTATTTGTTTAAAAAATTATTACATATTTGCTAAATTAATTCTTATGATTATTTCTAGAATTTTTTGCAACAAATAAATTATTATAAAAAAATTTCACTTGTTAATGTGTCAAAAAATTATTGTTGTAATTTTTTTTTTTTAATTTTTTCTTAGCAGTAATTTATTTGGAGTAAAAATTACAAAAATGACAGATGTCAGCTAAATTTAGTATCATATTTAATTGTTAATGATAATAATTAAAATTAAAATTAATTACCATGGCAAAAGTGCTCCTTTGGATTTAGTTTTAGAAATTTCTTGAGTATCCTTTGATGAACTAGGACTTTCATCAACTTCCATTGATTCTCCAACATTTTCAGTATCCGTCATTATTGATAAGTACAGAAAATTCCAAATTTATCATAAATACGCTAACAAACACTTTGTTTTTTATTTATTGTTAATTAATTAAATTATTTAGTTCTGGAATAAACAAACAAGTAGCGTTTCGCTTTTAGGTTACCGGGTTTTTAAAAGTGCACATGCGCAGGAGAAATTTATTTTTTATTTTTTTGTTATTACAAAATTTTTTTACTACTTTGTGATAGTAAAAACTTAATTAATTATTTATTATTGACACATTGAATTGATTACTAAAATGATTTTTGCTATAAATAAAAATTTAGTGAAAAAAAGGCGGGAGATATTAGCTGTCAAAACGCATGCGCGCAGTTAACATTTTTCTGCCAGCTGGGTTATGTTTACCAAGTCAATGTATATTTGTATATAAATTATATTCAGATGAGTATTATAATGTTGGATAGTTAAATTTTTAATAATTACTCAGTGAAGTTTATAAAAATTAATTTGTCAAGAAAGAAGAAATGAATTTAAAAGAGCCGAGACGTAAAAGACGAGTTTATCAGCAGCAATATCCTCCTTTGCCAGTTTGTATTGGTAAAAAAAAAGATCAATGGATTATTTACACAGCTCATCTAGGAGTTGCTAATGCTTGTATTTCTGATCCCCAAGAAATGAAAGCTGTTCATAATATGGTAATAATATTTCTTCTTATTATTTTTATTATTATTATTATCATTATTATTATTATAAATAAACAACAATGAAATATAAAAATTAATTTAGCAGGTATTTGATAATTTTTGTACTAAATAAATTATAACAAAAAAAAAAAAAAAAAAAAAAGAAAAAAAAATTAATAAGTAGAAATTAAAAAAAAAAATTTTTTTTTAATAATTTTTTAAAACTAGTTTATTAAAAAAAAAATTAATAAGTTGTCAAGGTCTGATAATTTCAGTGTTAATTAATTTTATATAATTATTTTAGGGATTTTTTGGAAAAGGTTCGCTGTCAAAGTCAGTGCCAAAATTTAACGTCAGACGTTTTGGAGCACCACCGATAGCACGGGAACGTCAGTGGAGACGTCGCAAAGAATGGCTAGAAGAAGTAAAGCAACTGTCGACATTCCCGTTGAATATCAAAAAAGAAAACGAGGAAAATTCCAAGGAAGAATTTATCCATTTAGACAGTGACACAAATGAAATAGAATCGCTGCAAGAAAATAAGCCGATGGAAGTATCCACCGACCAGGATGATGATCTTGAATTAATTGAATCAAAAATTCCTACTCCTGAGATAGATGAAGTTGTTTTGGATTCTACTGAAGAGGAGGAAGTTTGTGAAATAATAAACAAGACTGAGCGAACCCGCAATGACTCTCAGGATGAGATCTGTGTTCTCAATGATCTTCAGAGTCAAAATGATTTTTCACCCAGTCCGACGGACGAAATTGGAGAGGTCGATGCTGATAAAACGCTGGTCCTGCCAGACAGTGACTCGGATACGGAAAATTATTTGAATAATGTAAATCCTCGGGTTGAAACAGGCGGATTTCCTCTAGCTGAAACTCTTCTGCTGACTTTCGAGGAATCTTTTTTCCTTATGTTCGGACTAGGGTGTTTGCAATTAATGGATTATCAAGACAAGATCATTTCTATCGCCGACGCATGGACACACTTTAATCAGGATAAATTATTCTTGCCTCGCTACATTGTTTATCATTACTTTCGGAGCAAAGGATGGATTGTCAAGTCTGGATTAAAATACGGTTCTGATTTTAGTAAGTTTTTTTTTTTTTGACATTGAAATTGGCAAATGATACTAAAATTAGCCGACGTTCAAAAATTTTTTATTTTTTTTTATCAACAAAATTACAAATAAAATAAAAAACTCCATTCGACCACACTCGAAATGTAAGGTAGATTTCGATAGTTTCAAAGAGCTACTATTTCTGAACTAATTGAACGATTTCGCTCATTTTAGGGCTCATGTAAGCTAATTGTCCGAGAAATATGTGTACCGAATTTCATTAGGATCTGTTGTGAGTTCTTGATAAAATAACATTCATAAGTCGGTTGTACTACACATTGCCTGAAAATGGTTCAATTGCACTCTTTGATAAAATACTTTGATAAAATAACTCAAAATATTAATGTTATATACGTCAAATTAAAAGTAATTTTATGAGCTTTTACATGAATTTATCAAAAATTAGCTATCTCTTTTCAATCGAAAGTTATACATCAATGAAATCACCGAAAACGTGATTTTCACTAGTATCGTAATTTTAAAGAGCTACCATTTCTAAATTTATTGGCGGATTTCGCTCATCTTCGAACTTATTCAAGGTTACTATCCAAAGAATATCTGTACCAAGTTTCATCTAAATCCGTTGAGAATTGTAGGTGCTATCGTGTACACAAGCTGCGTTATATTACATATATAAACTTTCGAACCAATACTATTTTTGAGCCATACTCGACTAGTTAGATGATATTATAGCAAAATTCCGACTTAATTTTGACATGAGAACCAATGCAATAGATAGATTTCAATGAAACCTACCTAAAAATTTCACGTGTAATTTTTCAAGTATTTAACATGTGAAATTTTTTATTTTTGTTTTTTTTTTTGCAATTAACTAGATTCAGAAAATTATTTATAATGAATTACACATAATCTTTTTGATTAAATTTTTCTTGCCTTAATTTATTTGTTAAAAAATTCATAAAAATTGTCAGATGTTTTTCAATTTCAGTATTATTATTTTTTATAATAATTTTTTTTTATTTTTATTATTACTCAATCAAAAAAATTTTTTTTTTTAATTTCTAACTAGAATTTTTTTATGAAAATTTTTTTTCTAGTAATTTAGTTATAAAAATTCAAAAAATTGATAAATGTCTGTTAATTTTAGTATTATTATTTTTTCTAGTATTTAATTGATGATTATTTGGAATAATTAACATTTTCTTTTAGTGTTATATAAACAAGGACCACCATACTATCATGCATCATACCTGGTAGTTGTTGAAACCGTAGATGCAGATACGTTGATACGTGACGACAGTAGATGTACCCGTAAAATGGATTGGAAAAATTTGTATGAATTAAATCGACTGTGCGAAGTGACTGCTAAGGTATTTTATTATCAATAAAAACCAATCACCAAACTTACTAATAAAATAAATTATAATTCATAGGAATTATTAGTCGCGCAAGTGTTGTGGCCATCGTCAGTCTCACTAACTAATCCAGTACCTTTGGAGTCACTGTCGGAATTTACAGTCCGTGAATTGCTTTGGAGAAGATGGAAAATGAATGAAAAAGACGAATCGGCCACCAATGACGAGAGCAGCGATGATTCGTCGTGATTTATATTAACTAATTGTTAAAAAATTATATATTTATATTTAATAAGCTATTGAATAAGGTAGATATTTTTGTACATGGTATCTAGTTAATTATTATTTAACATCTTAATATACGTTAATATTTATAATAAGAATATGTCAATTAATTATTTGTGATTATGAAAGACCCTGCTCTTTTTGATACTTAGCACCGATTCCAGTTCTGCGATAAATTGTTCTTTCATTTAAATATTCTTGCGTACAGCGATCTATAAGTTCTTGGTCATGATACCATTTTTCGTAGCAATCCCACATTTTTTGATTTTCTTCTCGGCATTTAAAGACAATCATAAATCCATTAGCTTTTCCGCACTCTGACAAAGCTGTGGATTAAAAAAAAATTATATTAAAGTTAGCAGTCACTTACAATTTTTATTTTTTTTTTTTAATTTCTACATGTCAATTTTTTTTTATACGAAAATAAATTAATCTTCATAAAAAAGAAAAAAAATGTTAAATTAAGTTTACTTTAAATAATACAGATATTAAAATACATTTGATAATTTTTTTTTTTTTGAATGAATTGTAACAAAAAAAAATTTATTTAAAAAAAATTATATATGAAAAATTTTTAAAATGAATTTTTTGTACTAATTAAAAAAAAATGTCAAATGTCTTGTCAGTATTATTATGATTTATACTATTACCTTTAACTTCATCAACACATTTTTCATTTTTAGCTCTCTCTCTAACTTTTTTAGGAATTAAAATATCTTTCTCAACTTTCCTCAGTGACTTGTCATTAGGATCGCCTAAAAATCAAAGAAAAAATCAAATAACTCAAAAATCTACATGACATTTAAGTTATACCTATTACCAGTCTTGGTCAGTTTTTAATTTTTTTTTTTTTAACAAACAAATTTGTTTTGAAAAATTACTTTTAAAAAAATTGCATTTTTAATTTCTTAAAATTTCTACATGTCAATTATTTTTCTCATAATTTATTTGTTAAAAAAATTATTAAATATCTGCTAAATTAATTTTCATAAAATCTACACATGATACCTGAGTTTAACCTTCATATTACAAAAATGATGCAATTTACTTGTTAACTAAAATAAAAAACACAAAACCGAATTATTAAAATAATATTTATTTACCTAAATTATGAGGTCCTCCTGTCCAAGAAGTGAACGGGACACTTTTTCTAACTTTTTTTGGAGTATCTTTATTTTCCTGTTCCTGATCCATTTTATTTAAAAATTTCAAAAATAACATGCGGCCATGTTTGTTTCTATTCTCCCTCTCTCTCTCTCCCCCATCTGGCTTTAGTGGTTCTAGTGATTGTGCAGAATTGACGATTTCATTTGGTTGCTTTGAACAAGATTCACTGTCAATTATCCTTTAAATTTTTTCTAATAAATAGTATTTATTATTTTTTAACTCCAAATCAGCTAATAGGTATTTATAATCTTAATTTTTAATTTAAATTATAAATTTATTATTATTGTAGTGTAATTTCATCTTTAAATTACTTACTAAGAATATAACCTAACTATCAAGACGCTTTGTCATATATTTATTTAAATTTTCCAATTAATTAATTAATAAATTAATTTACAACAAACAATTTTTAATAAAAAATTTTTGCAGATAAACATGGACAGATTACTGAGATTAGGAGGAGGAATGACGGGACTAAATCAAGGTCCACCTCCGTCAGATGCTCCTGTAGTTGACACTGCCGAACAGGTAAAAAAAAAATGATTCTAAAAATTTAATTAATTATTATTTTATTTTTCATTTATTTATCTAAATAATTTTTTATATTTAAAGGTTTATATTTCTTCTCTGGCACTGTTGAAAATGTTGAAGCACGGTCGTGCTGGAGTACCTATGGAAGTCATGGGTCTCATGTTAGGAGAATTTGTCGACGATTACACTGTGAGAGTTATTGATGTCTTTGCTATGCCTCAAACTGGAACGGTAATTATTTTTTTAAATTTATTATCACATTAAAAACAGCTGACATCTGTCAATTTTTTTGATAAATAAATTAAAAAAAAATATATTTTTAAAAGAATTTTCACTTGCGATAAATGAAAATGAATTCAGCTGACATCTAAAAATTTTTTTTTATTGAAAAAATTATTACAAAAAAATAAAAAAAAAATTTCATTTGTAGAAAACTTAAAAAACTATAAATGCAATTTTTTAAAAATATTTTTTAGTTCTAATTTAATAAATTAAAAAGTCAGAAACGTCGGCTACTTTCAGCATCATTGCAATTATTTTTAAATTCTAGATGTTATTTTTTTTTATTATAAAAATTTTATTGTTATAAAAATCTAAAAAATATTACAATAAAATTATTATGAAAAAAGTTTATTAAAAAAATTGCACATATGTAGTAAAAAAAAAAAAAAATTTTAATAATTTTTTTATTACAATTGATTGTAATAAAAATTATAAAAAATTGAGAATTGTCGTATATTATTTATGATTTTTATTTATTTAAATGATTGACTTGTTTAGGGTGTAAGTGTAGAAGCAGTAGACCCAGTGTTCCAAGCAAAAATGTTGGACATGTTGAAGCAAACAGGTAGACCAGAAATGGTGGTTGGGTGGTACCACTCGCATCCTGGGTTCAGTTGTTGGTTGTCGGGTGTTGATATCAACACACAGCAGTCCTTTGAAGCATTGAGTGAAAGAGCTGTGGCTGTCGTAATCGATCCAATTCAATCCGTAAAAGGGAAAGTTGTTATTGATGCATTTAGGTTAATTAATCCTAATATGATGGTGGGTATTTTTTTTTTAAACTTGTTACATAAATAAATTCACAAATGGAATAAAAATTTTTTTTTTCAGGTATTGGGACAAGAACCCCGTCAAACTACCTCGAATTTAGGACATTTACAAAAACCATCTGTACAAGCTCTTATTCACGGTTTAAATCGTCATTACTACAGTATAAGTATTAATTACCGTAAGAATGAATTAGAGCAAAAAATGTTGTTGAATTTACATAAAAAGACCTGGATGGACGGTCTTACTTTGGCTGAATATTCTGAGCACAGTAAACTCAATGAAAATACTGTTGCTGAAATGCTTGAGCTTGCTAAGAATTATAATAAGGTACTTAATATATTTTATTTAATTTTTAAAAATTTGTACGTCCATTTTTAATAAAATAAATTTTTTTTGTGGTTTCAGTCATTGGAGGATGAGGAAAAAATGACACCCGAGCAACTGGCGATTAAGAACGTCGGTAAGCAAGACCCGAAACGTCACCTGGAAGAAAAAGTTGACATGTTGATGTCCACAAACATCGTCCAGTGTCTTGGAGCTATGCTTGACACCGTTGTGTTTAAATAATTATTTAAAATAAAATAATTATAATTACTACATAATTCATAACATAAACACTAACACATTTAAATTCATATATTACTTTTTAATAACTGAAGAAAAAAATCCGATAAAATAAAATTTTTTTTAAAACCATTTAAAGATATTGTATAATGTATAAAGAACTTTTATTTTTATTTTAATCCTTACGTTGATACAAGTTAGGTAAGAATATTTAAAAATAGCAAAAGAAATTTTTTATTAACCCCTAGCAGCGGCTTCCACGGCCAAATTCTGTGCAGTTATTGAAGGGAGGTCAATTACACCTTCCTTGGTTATTTTTTGCACTTTGAAGTTTGGTAAGTTTACGATCAAACGCTTGTGGACTTCAGTGACACATTTTTTCAGCAAGTCGTATGCTTCATGTTCATTCATATCTAGAAGAATTATAATTTCAGATATTAGTAAGTTATTTTAATTGTTTATAATAATTAGTTTTTAAGATATTTTGATAATTTAAAAGATATTTTTTTAACAAATAAATTTTGACAAGAAATTAAAATTGTAATTTTTTTTAAATAATTTTTTTGAACAAATTTTTTTTATTAAATAAAATTAAAAAATGGTCAGATGAATGCTAACTTTAATGTCATTAATTTAGAAGATATTTGGTAGTTTAAAAAAATTTTTTAACAAATAAATTATGGCAAAAAAATTGATATGTAGAAATTTTTAAAAATTAAAAATGTGATTTAAAAAAAAAAAATTGTATTAGAACAAATTTAATTATTAAATAAAATAAAAAAATAATCAAGTGACTCCTAACTTAAATGTATTAAATGTCATTCATAATTAAAGTAATTAACAAAATTTAATAAATACCAGAGCGATAATATCTATCGAGAATAGTCAGGGAGAAGAAGCCACCGTAACCGTGACAAGCGAAGGGTGCCTTAACGCAAGATGCCAAGTAATCAATGAAGTAAAGCTCTGGTCCAGTTTCGCTGTCATACCCGGCCATCAACAAATTCACAAAGTACGGAGTACGTGAGCGCAAGTAATCAGCGAGTTTTCTGCGGGTGAATGTCGCTGCAGCCTTCGGTGACAATTCATACCCGTTGCGCATTTTGTACAGCTGGATATTTTTCCCGATGTATTCGGAGAACTGAGTAGAATCTCCCTGTTCACCGATCACCGCCATCACCAACTTGTCTGAGATCTTGTAGATTTTATTTTCATCTGAAAATTATTAATTGTTAATTATTCCATCAGTCGTTTGTTATTAATAATTGATAATTTAATTTTTTTAGATAGTTAAAAAGGAAAAGGAGTTGTTATTTAAATTAATAAGATTTGAGGTTAAGCATGATTGGCATAAAATAATGGATGATAAAATTCTTACCGTTTTTCATGACCATAATTGATTGAGCAGTGGTCGAATCAGCTGCAATTAATACGAAATCGTCGAAACGGACTCCAATTGAACACTCAGTCATTTTTAGACTTTTTTGTTGGATTTATTATGTGGAAAAATAATTATTTACTGTCACCACTAAACTCCAAGCTCCTGATTGTGTTTAATTTTGTATGCGGTATTAGGATGGAAGATTTTTATACATGTCGGTACAGCAGTTTTTTATAAAACACTGAAGTTAACTGACATGAAAAAGTTTTTAATTAAAAATTATTATGAAAAAAATTTAATCAATAAATTCCACAAGTGAAAATTAAAGAAAAATTATAAATATAAATTTTTTACAGTATTAAGTATATTACTTTTATTGTAATTGATTTGTTCTAAAAATTTAAAAAATTGACAGCTGATAGCTAACTTCAGTACCATGATTTTGATTTTAGATGAGTCACGTGATTTTTGCCAATAAAAATGTCGGGTCCTTTTTTTAATTACTAAACTTTATAACACTGAAGTTGACAGGTAATAAAATTTTTTATATAATTTTATAGCAATTGAGTTAATGTAAAAAAAATTTCAAAAACATATCTGTAAATTTAATTATTATTTATAAAATTATTTTCATAATTTTTAAATTTTTACATTCTCAATTTTAATCATAAAGATAATTGATTTACATTAAATAATAAATTTATAAAATTAAATTTCATTACTGTTTTAGAATTTATTGTATATAAAAGGTGTATATAAATTTTAATTACGGAGTTATTTCATTTTTTTTTTTATTAAACGAAAAATTAGTATTCAAAATTAAAATCAAAGTACGATTTATCAAAAGGATTTATCCGGATAAAACCGTCTTCTCCTCCACTGCAAAAGCTACGGCCGTCTGGATGGAAAGCGAGCGAATTAATAGGCCCGAAGTGACCCTTCAATCTCGCAAACTCTTCTTCAAAGACCAGGTGGTAAAACCGAGCGTCGAACTTTCCTTGACGCGCCGAAGTTGTTGTTACATCCATCGCATCTTGACCACCCCCGAGAATTACGTGGTCGTAAATCGGGGAAATTGTCGCAGAGTTTACCGGTCTCTCCGTTTGATAGGTTTTCAAGTGCATCAAGGACTCACTGTCGAACAATTTAGCAGTGTGGTCCTTGGACGCTGTGATGAACATAGTACCGTCTTTGTTGAACTGCATGTCGTTGATCAAAGACTTGTGGCCTTTTTGAGAGTTGAGCTTCTTTCCAGTCTACAAATAAATAGATATATTTAAATTAATATTTAATTTCTAGCTATTAATTATTAACTTCAATTGTTAATATTAACAAAAAATGATCAATTATTAATTTAATTTTAATGCCATTGAAATTATCAAACATCTGTCAAGTTTTTGAATATTTATAACTTAATTATTTAAAAAAAAAAATTATAATGAAAAATTCAATATCCAAAAATTAAAAAAAAAAAATACAAGTGTAAATTTAAAAAAAATATTTTTTTTTTTAAATTGACTCATAAAAATAAAAAAAAAAATATCAGGTGTCTACTAATTTCAGATAATACTAAAATTAGCCGATGTTTTTAATTTTTTGATTTATTTTAATAATTAAATTAGAGCAAAAAAATATTTTTTAAAAATTGCTCTCAGTTTCTCAAGTTTTTGACAAATGAAATTTTTTATCATTTTTTTAATAAAAAAAAAAAATTCTAAAAAATTTTAGATGTCAGCTAACTCAATTTTCATTAATTTCAGTATCATATTTTTATAAATACTTACAGAAACATCCCAAATATTAATTTCACCATCTTCGTGACCAGTAATGATAGTCTCATCAAGAGCACCCCAGAGAATTGATGAAATTCTCGGTCCATTAATCGGGATTCTGATTATTGCAGGCCCTTCTGCCAACATTGAGTCAACATTCCTCGTGTCGATGATGAACATTTCACACTGGTGACCCAAAGCTTTGTCCGTCGAATAAACAGCCATGTTTGCTGAGAAACTAAACGCGCACGTTCTTACGGAGCTGTTGGTTTGGATTTGAGAAATTTCTTTGCCTATATTTTAAAAAATTTTTATCATTAAAATTTGTTTAATTATTTAAATAAAAAATTATCAGCTTGAATAATAAATACAATTATTATATGCTTTTATTGTCACCTGATAAATTATAACACCTACATTACGAAACAAAAAAATTCTTTTAATTTTTGTAACAAATCAATTATTATAAAAAATTTGCATTTATAATCTTTAAATGTGGAATTTTTTGTATAATTTTTTTTCATGAAAATTTTATTGTTATAAAAATATGAAAAATTTTTAGATGTCTCCTAAATTCAGTATCATAAATAAAATGACAATTATACCTGTTTGACAGTCCCACAATCTCAATGTATTGTCTCCAGATCCAGACATAAAAAATTTGGTATTCCAGTCGACGTCCATACACCATATAGAGCCATTGTGACCATTAAAGGTACCCAGACGCTCGCCATTAGCAGACCACCAGACATTTGGCTTTTTATCTTTCGAAGCTGAGAAAATTAGATCTCCTTCCCGGTTATACTTAACCTCGGTGATGGCACGCTCGTGCCCCTGGAGCATGACGGGACGCTGAAAACACATTAATTATTATTTTTATGCCAAAAAATGCCTCGAGTGATGACGTCAAAAGGTTAAGACTTTTCACGTGTATTAACTATTTTTTTCGCATGCAAATTATAACTTATATTATTCACTAGGTATTATTGGATTTTATTCTTACCATTTTTAATAATTAATTGATTATTTTGTGACGTCTAGGTAATCAAACTAAACGAGCATGTACACAAGTTGATACTAGCCTAAATTCATAAAAATATAATGGACTTAGGTTATGTATAAGCCGAGAAGTAAGGCTATTGGATTATTATTGGATATTACCGAGCTGGCAAGGAAGTTGCCGAAATTGTGCACTAGCGACACTGCCTCTCGCGGATTTTTTCAGAGTTAAATTAGCTGTCATTTTTTTTTATTTTTATAACAATCAAGTACAATAAACAAAAGTGTTATTAATAATTTTTTTTTAATTTTCACGTTTGGAATTATAAAAAAAAATATTTTTCATAATAATTTAATTGCTGTAAAATTATTAAAAAAATTTTATTAGCAGTTAACTTCAGTGTCATAATTAAATAACAATTCTGTGTTTACTCACGTTACATTTACGTTTATTGTCAATTTTATAGCCTAACAATTTTACAAGTGTTTTTATTTATTTGCATTAAAAAATGGTAAGTTGAATTTTTTTAATTATTTAAATATTTATTCTGTACATTAATTTATTTTTATATAATTTCAGAGTGTAACACTTCATACAGATGTTGGTGATATTAAAATTGAATTATTTTGCGAGTTATGTCCTAAAACATGTGAAGTAAGTTTAATTAATTGCAATAATTAAATAATCCTAAAATTAGAAAACTTTCAATGATTATTTTTATTTCTTTTTTTTTTTTTTTTTCATTAATTTAATTAAAATTAAATTTAATTTTTTTAACTAATAATAAATTCGAATCTGTAGAATTTTTTAGCACTATGTGCGAGTAATTACTACGACGGCTGTCTGTTCCACCGCAACATCAAAGGATTCATAGTTCAAACCGGTGACCCGACACAAACAGGCAAAGGAGGCACGTCGATATGGAACAGAAAATTTGAAGATGAATTCAAAGAAGAACTTAAACATAATGTCAGAGGTTTGGTCTCGATGGCCAACAACGGGCCTAACACGAATGGTAGTCAATTTTTCATTACATATGCTGCTCAACCTCATCTAGACCTCAAGTACACGCTCTTCGGCAGGTAATTATACTAAATTTACCTTTCATTAATTTCAAGAAATTAAATATTCAAAATATTGAATATTTTTTTTTTTTTTTTTTTATAGAGTAATCGATGGAATGGATACGTTAGAACAGTTGGAGAAGCTGCCAGTCAATCCTAAAAATTACAAACCACTGACTGAAACTCGCGTGAACAGTGTGACGATTCATGCGAATCCTCTTGCTGGATAAATTGAAATTTAAAAATTAAGAAGCTGTATATAGTAAGAAAAATAATTAAATTTTTACTAATTTATTAATTAAAAAAATTTTTTGTTTTTTAATTATTAAAAATATAATCACAATATGTACAATTAATTATAATTGCCTTGCAGTCTTTTATTTTCGGGATCAAATGGACTGTGCAAGTAAGCTCGTGCCGGATATCTTTTTCCCATTGATTCTATTTCATATTTACCTGATTCTATAAAATTTTTTGTTACGTTTTCGCCCAGTGGATGTGTGATATACCTACGGTATAAATATTAAATAAAAATACCAATTATTTTGTGATACTGAATTTAACAAACATCTATAAAATTTTTCTAACAATTAAATTATAATGAAAAAAAATTCCAGATTTAGAAATTTGAGAAAAATTCCAAGTGCGAATTTAAAGAAATAATTTTTTTTTTTTTTTTATAATAATTGATTGGTTTAAAAAATTTCAGGAATTTTTAAATGTCTGCTAATTTCAGTATAACTATTTTATATAAAAATAAAATAATTACCCTTGTCCAATACTGTTACTATAAACATAAGAGTACTCAGCTCTTCTTAAATATCCTACAAGTTTATCATCACGATAAATAGCTTCTAAACCCCAGAGAGGCGTATTTTTGCTAAAATAATAATAATAAATTAATCTTTAAAATCTGGAGAGTGAAAAATCCGCAACAAACTTACTCTTTAAGATGAAAATGAACTAATTTCCTTTTGACACCATTAACACGTAAGTTATTGACAGCTTTCTTGCCATTGTAGTCTCCATGACGACGACAGACAAATCCCAGTCCAGCTTCAATGGGATTGTCATCAATTCTGAGATCACTGTTCCACAAATGATAACCTTTTTCGCAGCTGAGACTGTACATCGCACGGAAACCGGCTAATTTCAATCCATGCTCCTTGCCAGCTTCCATCAAACTGTTGAAAACTTTCTCACAAGACTGACTTGGAATGTGGAGCTCATATCCGAGCTCACCGACAAAACTCAGACGGAAGGCTCTTACAAGACAGCCTTTTACATCAATGATCTTGGAAGTCGAAAACGGGAATTCTTTATCTGAAAAATCTTTGTCTGTTATTTCTTCAAGGATGTATCGACTGTTTGGCCCTTGGATAGACAAAATTCCCATTGTTTCTGTAGCATCGTGGATTGTTGCTTCAAAGCCTTTTTTTCTGATTACTCTGTGTAAATGAGCGAATGTGTGGTATGATGACATTCCTCCAGCGACTGAAAAGTTAAAGAAAAATATATTATTATTATATAATAATAACAATAACACTTAAAATTTTTATATTATTTTTTTTTTAATGTATAAAAATAATTTAATTAAGTATGATTTATAATCTTTAACAATTACCGATATAAAATGCCTTGCGCTGAAAAATTGGATCAGCCACACCTCCAGACCCAGCCTCTATTGAAGTTACAGTGCAATCAGCTTCAACTCCACCATGTTTGTTCAAAGCACATGTGTAAACGGTTCTGTTTACTTCCCGATCAACATTAGCGGTGAATAAGTAATTGGCAGCCTCTCGTGATTGCGCGCCGCAAAGATAATATTTCCCGAAGTATGATAAGTCGAACAAAGCGGCTTTGTTTCTGCAAGCTAACGCTTCTGATCCAATCTAAGATTAATGTAAAGCAAGTAATGTTTGTTATTTATTTTTTTATTATAAAAAAAATTATTTTAACAAACAAATTTCTTCCAAAAAATTATTTTCAAAAAATTGCATTTTTTATTTTTTTTGATTTCTACATGTCAATTTTTTTTTTTTTTATAATTTTTGCTTCAATTTATTTGTTAAAAAAATTATGAAATATCTGCTGAATTAATTTTCATAAATAAATCTAAATAATTTACCACATCATGATGTTCAGGAAAATCAAAAGTATAATCTTTCTTTAAAATTTCAGCATAATCATTTCTCTTATTTTTAGGCGATCCATAAGCGCCGTAATAATCATAAGGAGGTATCAGAGTTATTTTACCAGGTTGATACCACCCAGGTCGTTCCCATCCTTGTGCTTCTTCCATCACAGCTCCATTTTTAATCAGCAACTGAAATGCGTAACGAACAAAAAGTTTTACGCAATAAAATAAAACAAATAAAAATATTTACATTATGAAAGACGTCTTTTTTAAAGTTCCGTCCGCTCAATGGTGAGTCATGAGGAAAAACAGTGCTATAATTTTTAGCATAAGCTTCATGGGACCTCTCGTTCGCCCAGACGGAGTCTCTGACCTGGTCGGAGGTGAATCGGCGCACGTCATAACTAAACATGTGTCTTTCCGGACGGCCGTTTATGATCCACGAGGCAATTTGCTCTCCGCATCCCCCGCCGTACATCATGCCTGCACTGTTGTACCCGCAAGAGTAGAAGAAACCAGAGAGCTTGGGGTCCTCACCCATCAGCGGTTTGTGATCTGGAGTAAAAGACTCTGGACCACAGACCGTCGATTTTATCCCAGTAGTCTTCAATTTTGGCACTAGCTCTACCATCGCGTTCACGTGGGTGTTAAACACCGTCCAGTCTAGTTCGTATAAGCCGAATGAAAAGTCACGAGGTACCTAGACAAAATTAAAAATTTTTATTTTATAAAAATTATTAATTTTTTTATCACACTGAAGTTGAGAAACATCTGATAACTTTTAGATTTTTTTTTAATAAATAATTATAGCAAAAAATTTTTTTTTAAATTCCGGCTTTAGATGTTCAAAAAAATTATAAATGCAATTTTTTAAAATAATTTTCTAGACCTAATTTATTTTTCAATAAAATATTTAAAAATTGTCAACTGTCTGCTAATTTCAGTGTCATAATAAAAGCGCCGAGATTTTTGCCGTAAATTCAAAATAACAATTCATAATAAATGGTTCTAATTTTTGATATTATGACAAATATATTGGTCCTATAAAAAATTTTGTCAAACAAATGTTTTTTCCTTAGGATCAATAATTTCTCTGTAATTTCAAAAGTAAGATTTTAATTATAAAATTTGAACCTTTAATTTTAAATCTTAATTTTGGAATTACAGCAAAAAAATTGATTAAAAAAAAAATCATAAACATTTTGATTACAAAATTAAATTTTAAACAACTTTTCTTTAACATATTTTTTTATAGGACCAATATTTTCGTCGTAATATTAAAAATTTGAACCATTTATTTTTAAATTACAGCAAAAATTTTGGCCCCAGTCATAATTTTTCTTAAAATCAAAATATAATTACAGATTTAAGAATAATCGGATTAGGTTCATAACCACCGATTTGCAGCGAAGACCCCTGGACCTTGATATAAAGACTGCCATCATGGTCGCGAATGTTAGGAAGACCTTGAACACCTTCTATAGGTTCACTGACCACATAAGCGTGCTTCATCGGTATCAGGGGAATATTTACACCAGCTAGTTTAGCTAGACTTCCTGCCCACACACCAGCTGCATTTAAAACACACTTTGTTCTTATTGTTCCGTAAGGAGTTTCCACTCCTGTCACCGATTTCCAGCCGTATTCATTCTCTTGTGTTATTATTTTGTGCACTGGACAGTTTTCGATCACCTGGATACATTCATTTTTATTAACAGTTGTACATTTTTTAACATATTATCAATTGTGGGCTATAGGTGATAAATTTATAAAAAGAAGATACTTACTTTAGATCCTAGACTTTTTGCGGATTTCGTTAACGCGTCAACAAGAATACTCGGATCTATAGTACCGTCTTGAGGGCTGTAAATAGCGCCAGTGAAGCTTTTTTCATCAATAAATGGATACAATTTTTTAGTTTCTTCAGGGGTTAGAACATGAGCTTCTATTCCAAAATATTTACCAGCAGTTACTAGTCTTTTATATTCATTCATTCTAGTCTAAAAAAAAATCTCTATGAAAATTAATTTAGCCGACATTTAATAATTTTTAAATTTTTGTAACAATAAATTATGGCAAAAAAAAAATTAGAAAAAAAAATTGACATCTAGAAATTTAAAAAAATTAAAAATGCAATTTTTTTAAATAATTTTTTGAAACAAATTTGTTTGTTAAAAAAAATTTTTTTAATTGTCAAGTGACTGCTAACTTTAATGTCATAAAATCTCTTCATAATTATTAATCATAACAAATGAAAATTAATTTAGCAGGTATTTTTAAAAAAACAATTTGTTCCAAAAAATACCATTTTTTATTTTTAAAAATTTCTACATGTCAATTTTTTTTAATAATTTTTTTTTGCTATAATTTATTTGGTAAAAAAATTATTAAATACCTGCTAAATTAATTTTCATTACAAATTTGTTTGTTAAAAAAAATTAAAAAATAGTCAAGTGATTGCTAACTTTAATGTCATTCATAAGAAAGCCATAATAAATACCAAAGAAGAAACTTACTTCATTGTGAGCTATAAACAATCCTCCATTTTGTATAAATCCAGGATTTTCTCCAGTTTCTTCTTCCAATTGTTTTATAGTTCTCAGCGTTCCGTCCAACAATTGGATATCTACATCATTGGGCCTCAGCCTCCAGAACATCCCAGCAGTGTGCCAAGTTGTTCCAGAGGTCAGTTTCGACTTCTCCAGCAAAATTGCATTGGTGCCAAGCTTCGCTAAATGGTACAATGCATTGCAGCCAGCTGATCCACCGCCTAAATAAATTATTCAATCATAAGATTAAGTAACAAGGTTAACAAATTGATAAAGTTATATTAAATATTATGTAAAATTACCGATGATAACAACGTCTGCGAATTCTGGGACAGTAGGTCGGGGGATAGTAGTTTCTTCAGCTTTTGTCAGGACTTTTCTTCTTGTTTTTAATTGAACATTCCATGGTGATAACTGTAAAAATTTTTAATTAAACATTTTCATATTTCTTCTTGATAATACTAAAGTTAGCTGACATTTTTTATTTTTTTTATTCATTAAATTAGAAATAAAAAATATTTTTTTTTAAATTACAGTTATAGTTTTTTTGCAAATATAATTTTTTAAAAATTTTTTTTAATTAAAAAAAATTTTTAAATGTCAGCTAACTTAATTATAATTTCTTCTTAACATATTTTAAAAAACTATTAATTTTTTTAATTTCTTCTCAAAAAAACTAATTGAAAATTATTTCATTTTTTTTTTCAGTAAAAAATTTTTTTCATATTTTAAAAAACTTTTTTTTTTTTTATTTATAATTGTTAACTAAAATAATTAAAAATAATTTTTTTTAAAAAGAGAAGTAATATATAATAAATACCTTGCTCTTAGCAGTGCGTATCATTCTAGTTGTTTCGTTAGTGACTGTCTTAATGCCACTGCAATACTGATCAACAGTATTTATCCAAAATGTTTTGATTTTCGTCATAATTAATAATCACAATTAAAAAAAATATGTGATTAATAAACACAACAAATATATATCACACTTTCTTTTTCTTCCTTCACATCCATACAAACATCTTCACTCTAATCAACAAGTGGGGCTCATTAAACATAAAACATTTCGCAATAACATTAATCTTATTCAACTATTTCCATTTAAATAACTTTATTTATCTCTTGCCTTTATTACGGGAAGAAATAAAAAAATTATTAAATAATTTTAATCACTTATAAATATTTAAATTTAAGTTTGCATTTTTAATATAATTTTTTTTAATTATAGATTTATTGCTAAAACATAAATTACAATTATTGTCATCTTCATTATTTATTCAAGTGAAGAAAAATTTTCACGCCACTAATTCTCATTATATCAGATAAAATAATTTGTACTCCAGTACTGCACTGAGTACTTGACTCTTCACTTACCACGATTAAAACTACAGTCAACCACGTGCATGTCTGACAGACGAGATGTACATGCGTTGAAGGCCATTGACCACCGACACAATCGTTTTTTTTTTTTTTTTTTTTTTTTTTTTAAATATATAATATTCATCCTACCAGTAAAAGTATCTTTTGTTCTCTTTAACTCTAAATAAATTCCTACAATAAATTTTATTTATTAAATTACCTTTTTTTTCCTTACAAGAAGTTAATTTAAATGGTTAATTTATTCAATGTAATTAATCCATTTAAATTATTTAATTGAATCAAACCAAATAAGGATTTTTTATTAATTTATATGAATAAAAAAGTGCAACTCGTTCTGATGGAACTTGTTGACCTTGAATTTAAAACTGCAAACTTCTGAAGTTTCTATTTTCTATTTTTACAAACAACTTAATTATATAATAGAGCTTACAAATAAATAGACAATTTTTAATTAATATACAATATTTATTTTTAACTATTATCTATTTCTTCTCTATTTATATTTAATGTTTATTACTTATTATTAATTTAGTGGTAAGAAAAATTTTATAAACAAAATATTACAGTAGAAAAATTATCAGCTATATAACAAAAAATTTTTTTCAAATAGAATAATAATAATAATAATAATAATATTAATAATTATCTAATATAATTATTAAATAAATCACATTTTAGCAGTCATACAAAAATTGACAAATATTCGTATTTAGCTATGTAAAAAAAATTAATAATAATAATAATAAATATTATAAATAATAAATTAATATAATAAAAATTGATAATATTTATTACAATGCTTGCTCTTATTTTCTACATTGCGAAAGATAGTGCTCTCAAGCAATCGCCTCCTGTTATCGTGTAGTTTATAATAATAATGTCAATTATTATTATTATTGTTATTATTTTAATAATTATAATTAATATGTGTGTGTAAGTTATTAAATGTATCGATGAATGTGTGAGTGATTTTATAAATTTAAAATACTGTCTTTACAAAAAAATAATTTCTCTGCGAATTTTTTTTTTTATAAAGCGGTGCTTTACACGTAAAGCTTTTGTATTAATTAATTAAATTAATTATTAATTAATTTATCGTTTATTTTTACATGTATATTTGTATTCCGTTTTAATTATTTATATTTTTTTTAGGGGATTTAATCTAGCTAAAGGGACGTATGCTCTTCACTGGCCAAGCTGTCAGTGTCATCGGTGTCGGAATTTGTCGCAGCTTGGACTCTTGCGTACTCATCAGTGTCGATACTCTTGCAAAAGTGTATCGCGTACTTTAGTTTTTGTCTCAGTACTGCTTTGCAAGAGTACTTTGGCATCTTCAGCAGGAAGAAACAGGTGTAACTTTCTGGCAAGAAGTGGTCCGGAGGATTGTATTTATCCATTACCTAGAAAAATTTTTTAATTAAATCAAAGAATTAATTTATTATTTATTGATCAACTTATTGATTTGTTAAGTATGTAAATTATAAAATATTAATAATTAGTATTCAAGTATAAATGGTTTATGTAGATCAAATAAGATGAAAAAATCTTGATTTTTTTTTTAATATATTATTTGCATTTATATTACTTTAATTATATATCACTAAGTTGTTCAATAATAAAAAAAATTTATTTTAATTTTTAAGAAATTATACGCACTTAGAATTTGAAAATAATTTTTTTTTTAAATTTTAAACAATTAAATACTTTTTATCAAAAAATTTTAGATTATTTTCTAATTTTTTTTATAATTTTCAGAAATTGATTTAAGGATTAATAATTTTAATAAATATTTTTCATTTTTATAAAAGACAAAAATTTCAATTAAAAATTAAAATTAAAATTTTTTTTTAACCCGCCACTTTGTTTCTTATGAATTAAAAAAAAAAAAAATTAATAAATTATTATATAAATCAATTAAAAAGTCTTTTAAAAAAAAAATTATCACTGAGAATTTAAGGTACGTATAATCCATAAAAATAAAATCCCACAAACCTGTAGAACAAAATCTCTGCCTCTAAAATCAGCGATAGTCCTCGGCAACCTGGTCCTGCCCCAAACAAATCTCAAAAACAAGGATCTCTCCTGATTAGAAAACTCCTCCATGACCTCCCAGAACCACTGAACCAAACTAGAAGTGGCTTCAACACCTTTGTAAGTCGCAACAGACTTGAGTAGCCCCAGCGGAATATCGGGGCTTCCACAAACCATGGTCTCCAACTCAGCGCCACTGAACAGAGCTAGCAGAGGAACTGGAACGACCCTGGACATTCCTTCCCTGACAGCGGCGACCTGAGAATCAAACTCATGCAGCCGATAGTTGAGCGCCAGCCTGACGTACTCGTGCCTATTTTCGGGAGTTATTTTCCTGTAGCGAGTGGAGAGAGGAACATCATGGCCCACAGCAGAGGGTGTCGAGAAAGGCATCTCCAGAGTCTGGAAGACTTTCTCATCCGGGTCCATGTCTCTAATGCAGAGGAGTCCGGGGACATAATCCCGGTCTACTTCAGTCAGATCAGCAGGAGTCAGCGCTATTCCAGCCAAAAGTTTCCAGATCGGCTCAGCCAGGTTCAAACTCAGCGGGCTGCCGGTTCTGATTGCGATGCCCATGAGTATCCCCAGGAACTGGAACATGCTCAAATGTAGCTGCGACTTAGCAACAGGGTTTAGGAGAAAGCAATCCCGGTTAGTCCCGCTGTCGTCTCTGCCGTTGGGCGTAGGGATAAATAGCGGCAGTGATCCATTCTGCAGCTCATCGCACATCTCAGCGATGCTTTCACTGTATCCACCTCCGCAGTCATCGACACTCTCACCCACAAACTTAACCTTCCAAACTCTGTGAGGCAGAAAGAGGACATCTTGAGTAAGCAGCGACATCTTGGCCACCATCTGCCCAAAAACTGACTTGATTCCATCCGGACCAGCAAGACCACCTTTCCCTCTAGCTCTCTTAACCTGGATCCTGTTCAACTCGATCACCGGACCGTGCTGACGGTCTCTGACCATGGTCGCTTGGACCACCTTCCTGAAGGTCGCCTCCTTGATGCTGTAGACCAGCATCGGCGCCAGCTTGTTCAGCCCCACTGGGCCGCTAGTCGAGAACATCACCAATGAAGGACAGAGCAGCTCTGCGAAGTAGTGAAGCAGAACCAGGCGATTGTGCAGCGCTGAAGATGGCAAGTCTTTCACCAGGTCGTACTCCATCGGCGTAGTAGCGGGCAGCCGGCTTGAAGTGGCCTTGCTGGTGCTCCAAGCCAGAGTATGCGCGCTTCCGCAGGCAACTCGCGTTATTTTCTTCCCTTGGAGAGCGTGGACCAGTCTGGGGCGTTGGAGCGCGCTGGTAGTCCCGTCTCCCAGTTGTCCTTCGTCGTTGTCGCCCCAAGTGAACACTTCGCCTTTATCTGAGCAAGCTACGCAGTGCAGCGAGCCTGTTGCGATAGAAATTATCTTCTTACCTTGCAAAGCTGCGATTTTCCTCGGTCTTCTGACGTGGTCGTCAGTACCGTGACCCAGGCGGTGATAGTCTCCCTTTCCCCAGGTGTAGACGGCTCCAGAACGAGTCAGTGCGACGGAAAACTGGCTCCCGCACTCAACTTTGATGACTCCCAATCCTGCTAGCGACTCGATCTTCATCGGGGTCTTGCATCCGTCGCTCCCACCCCGGCCCAGCTTTCCGTAATCACCGTCTCCCCAGCTCCAGACGTTGTCATCGTCAGTGACGCAAAGAGTCTGGGCATCTCCGCTTCCGCAAGCGACGTCGACGGCTTTGTAGTCTTGGAGAGCTGCTACTAGCTTGGGCTTAGTCTGGTCGTCGCTGTCCCCGTGGCCCAGCCGGCCGTATCTTCCTTTTCCCCAGGTGTACAGCAAACCCGCGCTGGTCACCGCTGCGCTGTGATGCCCTCCGCAAGCTATGTCGACAATCTCAGTCCCCAGCAGCGCTTCAATCAACTTGGGCCGGTCGTAAGAAATTCTGTTGCCATGGCCCAGCTTTCCGTCGTCGCCTTCACCCCAAGAATACACGTGCCCTTCCGAGGACAGAGCTAGACAGTGCTTACCTCCGGAATTCACGGCTATTTTCTTGATAAACACATGCTGGATAGACTCCAGCAGCGTAGGAATAATCACCGAATCAGTTCCACCGATTCCTAGTCTTCCGACAGCTCCGTATCCAGTTGCGTAGATTTTACCGTCTGCTGTAACTGCAAACAAAGTCTGCTCGCCGCCAGCAAGCTGGATAGGTCTCAAAGCGCTCAAGCTTTCACAGGGTGAAGGTAGTTTTATTTTAGCACCCTCTAGACCTCCCAGCTGGCCCCGGTGGTTGTGTCCCCAGCCGTAGATTGCTCCCGAACCATCCCAAGACAAGGTCCAGTCTTCAGGCCTTCTGTTGACCCACAGCAACAGCTGTTCATCGTGCTCCCGCTTGAACAACTCATGATCTTCATGATCTTTGGAACCGTCTCCATCGGCGGTCATTTCTACCATTCGCTTGGTCACTTCCACGCAGAATGACTTGGGCAGAGCTGTCCGGTTGATCAAAGACTTGGCTACTCTCGCCGCGAGGCAGTAGCGCCTGAACCAGGACCACTTGTGGATTTCCGAGCAGCACTGCATGCTGTCCAGCTCTAGGTCGCACGCCAGCGCCACTAAAACTTTGAAAAAGTCACTGTGCATTAGTTGCTTACCTCCTCTGACACTCGGGTCTTCGTACTCGTACTGCCGAAGAAGAGCTTGGGGAAGCGACCCGATCAGCGATGACAAAGCAGCGTCTGCTCTGATACCTGGACCATTCAAGTAGACCACTTGGAGTTTCTTCAACGCCCACATTCGCTGTGAAGCCGTCAGAAGACTCAGTTGGCTGCACTGAGCTAGAGTTGCTGCTAATCTGGTGACAATGCTTTTGTCGGAATTTATCAAACTGTTGTCCAAAAGACACTCTGCTAAAGTTATCGAGGGCTGAGTCAAGACAGCGCGGTCTGATCCTAGTTCATGAGGAGCTAGAATTGCGACTATAGGGTGAACGGTGAATCTCCAGCCCCATCCATTGACAGAGCCGTCTGACATGAATCTCCAGTATAATTCATCACCTTGGACCCGTAGCTCGGTTTCCCATTCGCACCACTCGCGGCCAGATCTTATTGCGACAACTCTTCCTGCACCGTCCATTATTGTCAGCGGATCATGACGGCGTTCTGTAGAGCATTGACGGTCAAATTCAACTCTCAAAGCTTCAGCTCCTGGAATTTTAACGTGTCCTGTCAAGGTAGTGTCATCAATATACGGATGAGGAGTCTCTTGAACCACCGGCTGAGGTGACTTGCTAATACAATTAGAATTAGCTGCCGTGTCTTCTAATTCTGTAACACACAATTCTAATAACATATTTTTAATAGCTGAATTTGATTTAGCAAGCGCTATCAAAACCGAGGAAATAATATCCTTAGCGTTATCACAGACGCGATTAGCCACCGCTAACTTCACCAAATCTACCAGCATTCTAGCGTCGTCTTCCGTCAACGTCGATGTGAATTCATCGAGCCCAGTTTCGGGACCATCTCCAATAACTTGTGCGTGAGACGTCAAAGTCGCTGCTATGACACTCATCGCGCTAGTGCTCATTTTAGACGCGCGTGATGACAAACTCGCAGAACTGGACATTGAAGGAAAGATGACAGGATAGTCTTCTAGAGCTGGAGTGGCTCGAGGACTCGATGGCTGATCATTGACAACTGCAGGAGCTTCTCCGCCGCCTTGAGAAATCTCTCCGACATTTTGGTAGACTGTGTGTCCAACACTCCCACTCATGGTACCATCAATCGAAGCCTCTTGAGGAAGATTCTTCGTGGACGTCAACGCGGTGTGGTTCCTCAACGCGGTGACAATGGCAGTGCGAGCTTGCATGATATACAACGCGTTGATCACGTGCTGAAGAGCTTGCTGCTTAGCAACGTTGCTCTCCAAAGACAAGATTATGCTGGACAAAGACGGACGAGTGCCTTTGTCCGTCGTCGAGACACTGGATTCTGATGAGTCGCCGAAGCCCAAAGAAGCTTGACCCAGCGGATCTTTCGCGGTAGGAAAGGTCACTGGTTCCTGGTTGTTCGCCGAGGGCTGGTCAGTCAACACCCAGGCTACACTGTGACTGGATCCACAAGCCACGCGGTTTATCTTGACCTCTTCCAGGCCGTGGACCAAAGAAGGCTTTCTGTTATCAATAGTCGTTCCGTTGCCTTGCTGGCCATGATCATTGTCTCCCCAGGCGTAGACTTGGCCAGAGTCGGTCACTGCAAGACAATGCAGCGCTCCTACAGCTACGTGAATTATCTTCTTGCCTCTCAGACCTTCAACCACCGTCGGCTTCCTGACATGCTGATCATTTCCGTGGCCCAGTCGGTAGTAGTCGCCTTTTCCCCAGGTCCAAACTTCCCCGTACTTGGTCAGAGCTAGAGAAAATTGAGCTCCACACTCTATTTGCACGACACCCAGTCCGTTTAATCTATCAATCAGCAGCGGGCTGTAGCATCCACCACTTCCACCTCTTCCAAGCTTGCCAAAGTCACCATCTCCCCAAGAATAAACGCTTCCGTCCTCAGTTAGCGCCAGAGTCTGGGCATCTTTGCTCCCACAAGCGATTTGGACGACTCGCTGACCTACCAAAGCTTCTACAAGCTTAGGTTTCAGTTGAGTCACAGTATCTCCGTGACCTAGACGTCCGTACTCACCCAAGCCCCAGGTGTAGAGCTCTCCATTGCTAGCAATCGCTGCAGAGTGCCCGGAACCACAAGCGATGTCTCTAATTCGCTTGGACTTCAATGCTTCTATCAACCTCGGTTTGTCCAGAGACAGACGGTTTCCGTGACCTAGCTTTCCGTCCTCTCCCTCTCCCCAGGAGAAGACTTTGCTGTCTTGGGTCAACGCCAGCGCGTGGGTGCCTCCGGAGTGCACAGCGACTTTTTTGATTATATATTGGCTCAAAAAGGGAATCTGCTTGGGCTCGCAGACATTGTTGTTGTCGCCTAGTCCCAGTCTCCCGTTGGTTCCTTCGCCGCAGGCGTACAATTTTCCCTCCTGAGTGACGATGAACAGAGTTTTGCTTCCTCCTGAAATATGAAGTGGTTTTAATTTAGACAGAACTTCACTGTAAATAGGGAGTTTTATCTTGGAGCCCTTGAGCCCTCCTAACTGGTCTTTGTCATTCAATCCCCAGACATAGACAGCAGAGTGTTGATGCAAGTCTCCAACTCGGTGGGCTGTCATCTGTTCTTGGACAGCTTCCCAATCGGACGCTAGAAATGAAACAGAGGCTGCTAGCTGGTTTTCAAACAGCTTTTTTCTTCCTACAATTTGCAGCCCATGGATCTTGCAATCAATTCCTCCGTTTCTACACTGCTTCACTAGAATTTCAATGCACGGGTAGTACTCCTTCATATCTTGCAACAGCGTCACTACTGTGTCAGTGTTTTTGACGGTAATCGTAGTCAATTCCAGAAGACTGTTGAAGGAATCTCCAGCGTTGATTGCTACCACTGAAGGCATGTAACTTCCATCCAGCGGATCTACGACAATCTTCAACGAATCAATCAGTATATTCGACATCATTTCAAGTCTTATCCAATGTTTACCCCTTGCGCCGCTGCTCTGCCAGTATTTACCTGACCCGTCAACCAACCTGGTCGCCCAATTGTCCTTCGAGGACACGCACAGAGTTCTGATGCACTTGGACCAGTCTTCAATCAACGAAGACTCGGTGATGTCTTGTCTGTTGTACCTCCCAGGCTTGCCAGCGTAAACCGCGGCAGAACCCGGCTCTGTGATCCGGTTAAACCCGTGACGGTGACTTCGCTTGGTGTAGAAACAGTTTTCACACAAATTGTAATTATCACATACCTTGCACTTGAATCTGGGACCAGAAATCGGAGACAGATGACAGGAATTGCAAGCAACTGCGTGATGGCAGGAAGGAACTCGTTCCATCTCTGACATACAGCCAGTCCAGTTGCTTTGTTGCGGGAAATCCACAGACACATCCTTTCCGTTGTTGATTATTCCAGTGAGAATTCCCACGCTGGAGTGATTGACAGAGCCCCACTTGTACTTGGGAACTGCTACCGTAGACTTTACTTTAACTTTGTCGCCAACTTTGAGCGCTGGAGGACAAGGTAAAGTTGGAGGATGACCTAGAAGTTCAATGTGGATGAATCTTACCCAGTAGGTCCCGTCTCTGTGCTGCCAGGCCACTTGGACATTCAAGTCATGCAGGCCTTCAGGATCTATCTTGACTACCTGTCCTATGTCTCCATACTCGACTTCCTCGTAGCTTTTGCAGCAGCGTACTAGCATTCCCACGGAAATATTATCGCGAACGTAATTAGCGTACTCATCAAAGGACAAAAAGTCCGAGCGTTTCATGTATGTAGGAGTTACTGCGTCGTGAGCTGAAGGAGAATCCTCCAGGTCCTCGCTCGAAGACTCATCAGAATCCGAAGTTTCATCCGAGCTTGAAGAAATGTCTCCAAAAACAGTGTCAGCTTTTTCCAACAACCAAGCGACCACAGTTTCCGGAGTGATATTGCTTTCGGCGATGCTGAGACTTCTTATAGCATACTCAACACTTTTTTTCATGAAGCCCATCTCGGTCAGCTGGGTCACCAAAGGACTTGGACTCTTCTTGCTGCTGCGACAGTGTCGTTTCTGGCTGGAGGTCAACGAAGCCAAAGAACAATCTGAGGTTGGTGTGGTAGGCTCCGACGCTAGCCCGGTTCTGTGGATAGGAATGTGTCTTAGTTCAGAAGCCAAGTACTGGGAGACTGCCAGAGCAGCAGCTTCTAATTCTTCGCGCTTGAAAATCGGTTTTAGAGGTTGAGGTTTTATCGCACGGGTCAACAGTTCTTGGAACAAAGTCCTGCGTTCTTCGTCTCCTGGAGCTACGACGCACTTCAGAATCTGTCGAAGCTTCGACTGGTAGCTCAGCAAAGTTTTTCCTGCATTCAAAGCCGCCAGATGCTCTTGCTGAGTGCGCAAGATCCCGGAATTCACCACTCCGGCTATCACTGGCATTCCTCCAGGTCTCCGATCAGTTCTGCAATGTCCTAGAAGGAGATTCGCCCAAGCGGAAATCACAGGCTCGTTCATGGTCATTCGGTCCAGGTGAAACTTCTCTGGGATATTTTCTACACTAGTAACAGGAACTTTTCTTCTCAATGCAGTGTCACGCATTTGCAAGACTAATTTTGAATGAGGCGTAAACTTACAGATGGTTCCATACTCCCCGTCTATTTCGACGAGTCCTCCGATCCTTGGTCGGTCATCCAGCCCCCCGATGACTATCAAAGTCGCCATCACAGTTTGCTGGATCACTGAGCCGTGCTCGCCTCCGTTTTCGTTCATCTGAATGTGAAACAGCGGCCCTTCAGTCAGCAGATCTGCTGCTAGAGACACTTTGGAAGTAAGATAGGTGTTTAGAGCTTCACTCCAACCCGGCATGGAATGCAGGTGTCTTATCAAAGCCACAAGTTCTTCTGCTAAAGTAGAGCTGTGCGATGCAGTGATGGATACCCTGCATTTGTTGACATGCAGCTCAGTGGTGATACCAGCTTCGCAGCTCAGCGCGATATTTCCCAGTAGCTTGAAGACTTTGTCCAAAAACGGTGTCATTTCACAGCTGTCTGGCGCCCAAGAAGTTAAAACAGCTTTCAGAAGTCTTATCGCCATTATCTGTTTGGTTAAATCCACCTCCAGTTCATCAGCAACCAGGCTCAGAAGAAAGTCAACCCAGGCAGAAGTACTCAGCGCGTGACACAGCGCTTGAGAATTAGCTATTGTTTTAAGCAAACCTAGCGTCGCCCATGATTCGTGATGTTCTCGCGCTAATTGAGTCACCAAACTCGAGTCTGTTCGGTGCGCAGAGGAAATAATTCCACGTAAAATAGACGCCAGGATAGTTATTGCCGACTTTTGGACTCCTTCAGCTTTGACTCCACACGAAAGAAGCAAAATTTTTAGTAAATTTGTTGAAGCGCTTTTTAGATAAGTTGTTGGATGGATTTCCTTGCTAGTGCTTTCGTCGCTTTTGTTGGTGTCCACTGGTGACTCGGTGTCCGAGTCATTTTCAGGTGGAGCAGGAGGTTCTGCAAGTTTCAAGTCATATTTACCTTCTTTGCCCATTCGGTAAGAATTGGTAGTTCCGTTGTCCCACTGGACTCGGATCCAGCCGTCTTCTCCTAGCTCTCCGATGACTCGACCTTCTCCTGGAGGGGTTCCATCCTGGTCACCCCACTTCCAGTCGACACCTCTAACTACTCTTGTTCCTATCTTCATGAGAGCCGCCAGTTCAGGACCACCCATTTGAATTGCCGGTGGTTTCATTTTCTGCACTGCATCTTCATAAATTGCAGTAATGTCTCTCGGACACTGTTTTGAGGATTCTTCTCTAACAGCTGGCCCTATTTGTCTCAAAAGAGTCAAAATACTTGACAATAGTCCAGAATTTATCAACAAACCTATTTCATTCGCGTGATGGTGGCTGGTTAACATCCCCAAAATTGTGAGTAAGAATCTAGCTCGCGGCAATTTTCTTAACCAGGTGTAAGTTCCTTGATTTAAACTGCTCTTTCCACTGACCTTCTCCTTGCTAGGCAGTTCCGCTTGAATAACATACGCTCTTAGCGCTTGGACAGCCCAAGAAATGACTTCAGCTTCTGCTAAAATCACTCTGGCTTTTTGATAAGGTGTCACCAGCTGGATGTTACTCAAACTGTGAGTAATTCCCGTAGACGGGTGAGTGTTGCCAGGAACAAGACCCAGCCAGCCGTTCAGCAGCGAATATTTAACAGAAGTTATCAAGTAATCTTTCTTCAGCAACTCTTGGATCATATTGATACCTTTCTCACGCATATTTACCCTCTGGATTTGACAATACATGGCACGGCGAAGAGTCTCTACATCACCGCCTTCTTCAGCGACGGCAAAGTTAATTATATCTAGCATCAACTCACCAGGATCCATCATCAGAGAATTGGTCTTAGTCTTCTCAATCAACTGGAGCAGAATATTCTTACTCGACTGATTGTCTTCCAGCTTCTCAGGCGCCGCAGCTGTAGGTGTAGTAGCTTCCTTAGGTGACTCTTCTGACTTGGCTTTCCTTGTATTTTGAATCGAAGTGTTGACAATATCGTCCAACTTAGCCGGAGATTTATTTTTTTTAATGTCCATAATAACTGCAAGGACTGCGCGTTTGAATTTCGGTACAGTGTACAACAATTTTAGAGATTCATAGCCTTTGACCTCGTAACTAGTCGCTGGTCTTACTTCGTAGAGCAAAAATCGGCATTTTTCCTGAACTGGAGCGCAGACTTCCTTGTAGCTGCGATTCTGCTGTTGTCTTGTCCGTATTAAATTCCACTTTGTCTGGTGAATAGTCTTGACCATCTCCACCAAAGCCTTGGACAGTTTGGCATTACCATCCGCGAGTTCTTGATCGACTAATCCGAGCGTGTGATGCCCCAGAGCCAGATGCTTTAAAATGACAGCAATTAAAAGTCTTCCCACTTCTTCCAGAGGATGATCACCAGAAAAATCTACATGAGAAAGCAAATTATTAGCCTTGCTGTACTTATCTATCATGGTAAGAAATGTCTGGACGTAGGTGTTGGTACGGTGTGTCTCTGCAAGAGCTTGGATGAACGCTGAGACTCGATCGTCCGAAACCTTTTGGAACTTGTCCTTACAAATTGGAACCGCGGGATCTGTTGGAGAATTAGCAGGCGTTGAATGTGTGCTTCTAGCTTCTCCTTTCTCTTCTTCGTAAGGATTAGGCGGTTGAAGCACCTGGAGACCTCCTCGCAAGAATTTAGCGTTCAACCAGACACCAGCTTCTTCTTCTGCCGGCAGTAAATTCAAACTTTCGCGCATCCTGTGAGCGTGCAAGCCCATTAGATAGCTCAGGGACCGTTCCATGTCCAGCAATGACGAGCAAACGTCCATAACTTCGATGGTGAACTGCGTACAGTCGGGCTCGGGTTGACAGTAGTACCCCACGAAGCAAGAATCCATCATTCCGGTGTTTAATTGCGCTGGAGTTGTCACTGTCGAAATGTCTCTGCCTGCGTATCGCTGGAACATTTCTAAAGTACAAGAGCCTTCGTGACAAAAGTCCTGGACGTCGTAGACGTTGTTGTTCACGACGATCCACAGACCTCCGTCGCGGTTGTGGTTCTCCAGGTCGGCCCAGCGGATTAAAGTCGGTTCTTCGGTAACTGGAGCTTTGCTACCTTGCTGAGGAGCTATTATTCCAGGCCAGGATAAATCATCAGCGTCGTCTTTTTCTACTGTCGGTGCTAGCCGGTTGAACTGGTCTAGAACGTCTAGCACTGGAGCAAACACTGTCATCCAGTTCATTGAGTGCAGGAGCATCGGGTAATCTATCTGCAGTAAAATCAAACAAATCACTAATTCTGGTAGTAAAATATTAACAATATCACCCTTTAAAATTGTGGTAACATGGACAAAATGTTTGTTAGAAGTCCCAGCAATCTCACTAGCCAAAGGTAAAATTTCATTTACATGATTGCAAATTTGAATTGTATATTTTTTTAGCAGAGACTCTACACCAACCATCTCTGGATCTTGAGAGTCTTCAGAGTTTGATTTATTAACACACTGGTACATCTGCGCAATTAACAACCTCTGCCAGCGCAAAAGAAGATTCAAACTCGGAGAATTGTCTAATTTTTTATCATCATTTCTCCCACCGTGATGAAGAACTTGCAACCTTGACTGTGATACACAAGACCCGTTCCTTATCAACTGTTTCACCAACTGTAACAAAGATATCGTAACATTATTTTTCTCCGAGTTCAATTCTTTGGCCTGCTTGGTTTCACTGGCCAGCGAAGTTAAATTAGAAGGTACAGTCTCTTTCTCATCAGAAATATCAGCAATCTCAGCCTTTATCGCGGCTTTCAGCGCATGTTCCAGACCTCCGTCGGCCATCAAGCTGGACACCAGCAAGTCGGCCATAAATTGCTGGCCTTTGTTCGCGCTCAGCTGCTCGACGCTGTTGGAGTTAGGCAAGAATCCCGACAGTGTTTTCGCCCTTTCGTTGGCAGTGGGCAGCAGAATACTCCAGCCAGTCTGGAGAACAGCTTGGGCAGCTTCCTGGATAGTCGCTAGAATCCCTGGACCACTGGCCAGGCTGACGCATCGCTGTTTTAAAGAATTAAGAAGATTACTGTTACCCAGTCCGACGGATTTGGTGTCAATCCCGTGAGAAATCATTGCGTGTAATTGCAGCCTTAGGAGGTTCAGAGTCGCTACTGCTAGACATTCTCGATCTTGAGTCGGCGGGCGAGTTCCTGGAAGCCCTTCGCAGGATTTTCCGAGCAAAATGTCTAGCAATTTAAAAGTTTCTTCACAAATATCGACGACAAACGCGACTCTTGGCGCTACTGACCAGGTGGACAGACACCAGACGAAGCTCTGAGTCGGCCCACAGACCAGCCCGATCACGCTCTTGCCGGTCAGGGCACTGCACAGCCAGGGCTCGGGGACAGTGAATCCAAGAGCCGGGTCTATTTGTCCGTAATCGTTGCGACCCCAGCCGTAAACTTGTTGGTCTTCTGTCAGAGCAAGCACCAGGACATTTCCCACTGCCAGTTCTTTGACTTTCTTGCCTTTCAGTCCTTCGACCAGCTTCGGGTACCTCACATGGTCTTCATTGCCATGGCCTAGACGGTAAGCCGTTCCTTTTCCCCAGGTATAAATTTCTCCCTGCGCTGTCAACGCTGCTGAAAATTGACCTCCGCAATAAACCTTCACCACATCGATGTCCAATAATTTGTCGACTATTTTCGGGATCTTGGAGCCGTCGGAACCGCCACGACCTAGCTTTCCATAGTCGCCGTCTCCCCAAGAAAAAACTATCCCCGAAGCAGTGACACAGAGAGTCTGTGAGTCTCCACTTCCGCAAGCTACGTGTACCACAACGTGGCCATTAAGAGCGACGACTAGCGTTGGAATTGAAATGTCATCACAATTTCCGTGGCCCAGGCGTCCGTAGTTGGCTCTTCCCCAGGTGTAGAGCTCACCCATCGCCGTCAATGCTGCTGAATAAGTACTTCCACAGGCGATAAACGTCACATTTTTGTCCGCCAAGGCGTCTATTATTTTAGGATCGTCGTAGGAAGTGGTATCACCATGGCCCAGTCGGCCTCCGTCGCCGTTTCCCCAGCTGTAGGTGATTCCTTCGTCAGTCAGAGCTAAGTAATGCTTGCCGTCGGGATGAGAAGCTATCATCTTGACTGTTTTACCCACGAAGCCATTAACTTTCTGCGGGTACTGGGTTTCCGAGCCGTAGTGCATCATGTATACTTTACCGTTCTGCGTTAAGATCATCAACGCCCGTTCTGTGCAGCAGAGCTGCTTGACTCCCAACTCGGCAATCGCGTCGCAGTAAAACGGCGACGTACCATTGCCAAATTTAACTCCACCCCAGACTAACACTTCTTGGAAGGTCTGGGACTGGTTTTTTGTCAGCGAGTCTGTTATTACTGGCGGTAAGTGTGGAGAAGCTAGCCGACTCAAGTTGCACATTATCACCACAGCGGCTTTCCGTAAATCCACAGCAACTTTGTCGTCTTCTGGAAGGATCAGATATTTTAGTAGAACTTCACAAGGCCCTGGAATAATATTCTCGTCAAGGCGACGAGATTTTGGAGCGGGAATTAAATTTAGCCGACGGAGAAGAGGAACCAGAGGCGCTGAACTCCCGGGAGGTATCACTCGGTTGTCCTGATTTTTGGTCTTTCCACTTAGATGGAGCAACAAAATAACCGAGTCCAGGAGACCTGACAAAGTTCCTCGTTGTGCAACCAGCTCTAGAAGCAGACATAGAGCCGTGTGTTGGTCAGAAACTGGGACAGGACACCAAGACCTGCCAGTCACATCACCTGTGACGACTTGTCGCAGAAATTTCGCGGATTTCTCGACAACCTCCAGCCAAACTTGAGAGACGTTGTTTTCTTCGAAGAGCGTAGCTTCGGGGAGAGACTGGAGAGTCTCCAGAGACTCAGAGAGGATCTCGCTGCAGAATTCAATGTCCTCGCCGGATCTCCAAGCACGCCGTAGGTATGCGAAGGAAAAATTCAGCGCAGCACGAGTTCCTACGCGAGCTAGACCTACGGCGGCTTTTTCTGTAGGCTTGGTGCATACTTTTGACGAGGATATGGGTTTTAAAACAGTCTTGGTGACGACAAAGTCTTTATTTTCTTGGGGTTTGTGTCGAGACAAGGCAGTGAAGTAACGACGCGCTACAACTAACCGCTGACGTAGACGCGTTGAAGACAGTGTGCTGTTGGCAACTTCGTGACATAATGCAGTTTGCTCTTTTATCAGAGATTGGATGCAGATCACCCAGTCTTGGGAAGATGGCTGCGTTCCCCAGAGCCAAGAGTCTATTATATTTTGAGCTGGAACTGTTTTTTCTACCAGCGCAGTCGCTCGAGCCGCTTCTTCTTCATCCAGATTTTGACAGGGGGTGCAGTTACACCCGCTTTGCGGACCACATATTCCGTCACAGCATGGGCAGGATAGTACTCTTAGATTACAGTAGTAATGCCCACTGTCACCTATCAAATTCAATTAAGTAGTTATATTTTATTCTTTATTCTACTTTATTAATTATTAATTTTTTAAATGGAAAGTTTAGTGACATTTGAAATTTGTAGACACTTGACAATTTTTTAATTTTGTTTTTTAATAATAAACTAAGTAGAAAATTATTTTTAAAAAATTGCATTTATAATTTTTCAAAGCTTCTAACGATGAAATTTTTTAAATAAATATTTTTACTATAATTTATTAAGTAAAAAATTTATAAAATTAATCAGATGTCTCTCAATTTCAGTATCACAAATTTAAAATAAATTTGTCAATTTTTTTATCTATCATTACTTAATTTTGTTGATAAAAAATAACGCAATTGCTCAATATCTTTATTTATCATGAATAAAATTGAAAATATTTACATGTTATATATCTTACCTTTTCGTGCTACAACACCAGCAGAATTTATCAACCCATCGCTGAATGCTCCAACAATTTCTCCATCCCGTACCATTCCATTCCACAGCTCGGCAAGTCCATCCCGACATTGAAGCCGTCTGAGATCTGTCTTTAACCATTTTGCATCTAAACGTGCTTCTGGTCTTACCGTAATATTCAACTGACCGCTCATTTTTTATATATATTTTTAATCATTTATACTTCCTAAAAAATAAAAAAAAACTGTATCAAAAACCATTTATTTATTATACATGGTAATATATAGGTTAGATAATTACTCACGCGTATCATTTTGATGTTTTTAGTAAAAAATATAATTATGACAATAATTTATCTCAGTAGTAATAAGATTCAATAAATAAACATTACATCGATAATCACTGTTGACAGCTGATGCGTGACAGTGTGTTCATCTGGTGATTGTTTTTGTTGTCACATCAATATCAATAAATATTATTGTGTATGTACATTGTGCCTTAAATTAACATTTAAATTATAATGTTTAAATTTAAATTTTTATATATTAATTTTATAAATTTTATTGGTTAATTCATTGGATTAAGATGCGGTTAGTTTGGATTAATAACTTTTTAATTGACACTCTATTATTTTTTTTTTTTTATTGACTTAATAACAAGACACACTAGGTGAGACTAGGTGCTGTTTTAATTTATCGATTGTGAAACGTAAATATTTACAGAGATATATTTATATATATGTATAATATATGTGTATGTGTTTTTATTATCACTAGAATTTTTAACAGCGCGCATTCGCGCGCCCCCTATCGAAATTCTCGAATGAATTTATCCTGTTCGATTTATATCGATATATTGATATGTTCACGTACCAGGAGATTGACCAATAGTAACTGAGGAGGGTTTATATTCTACCAATAAGGAATCAGGTCTCATTTTTTCGACTATTGACTAACTTCAAACTGTCATGTATAGTTTTTATTGTAGGGATTTCGGAAAATACTTGGAGCGCGCGGTAATTGTTGCGCATGCGCGAAACTTGAAAAATAATCATGGCACGCGCGACTTCTGTTGGTACAACCGAGCCGGCACTCAGAAGCGTTGCTTTGTCAGTTGAGACGCACAAAGACGGTGGATGAAAATTTTTAGATAATTATTTATAATTTAATTATTTTGATGCATTTATTTAATTTATTTTAATTTAATTCTGCCACGATAATTATAATAGTAAATAAATATTTAAAATAAAACATGAATGCCGGGTTTTAGGTAATTAGTGGTTATGTTCGATCTCCAAGGCTCAAAGCTGCTTGGATCTTGCTAGCTAGTGTAATTATTGTTTTTATTTATTTTATTTGACATATTATGACACTTAAATTAGCAGACGTTCAACAATTTTTGACTTTTCTTTATTAATTAAATTAAAACTGAAAATAATTGAAAAAAAATTGTACATTGTAGTTTTTTAAATTTTCTACATGTGAAAATTTTTTCTTCAAATTTTTTTAAAATAATTTTTCAATAAAATAAACTACAGAAATTTTCAAATGTCGGCTAATTTAATTTTTGTAACATATTACTAAGGTATTTTTTTTTTTTTAATTATTATGATACTTGATGTTAAACTATAAAAATTTTTTTATTGCAGGAAATATTGAAGTGTTCTGGACTTTGTTGGTAAGCAATAATGTTATGACATTCTTTTGTTTTTTTATCACTTTAGTTATTATTATTATTATTATCAATGGAATAAATTTTGACAATTATTTATAACTATAAAAATAGTCATGATAATGTAAGTATTAGACTGATAAATATTTTATTTTTAATGTAACCTAAACATCCAAGTGGTTTACATGTTTTAACAAAACTTGGATTATAAAAAAAAAAAAATGAAAATTTTATTTTAAGTTGAATAAATTAAATTTATTATGAGCAATTAAAATCATATTTTGAAAGAATTTCGATAATATTAGAAATTTTAGGCTGTTTTGAATTATCAAAATCGACAGAATTGGCGTTGTAGAGCTTATTATAAAGATTTTGTGAACTGATCATATTAGCGGCTGTGATAATCTCAGCCCAGGCAAAATCTACGTCAGTTTGGATAGTAGATTGACTGCAAGCGAGGAACCGAAGAATAAGTTTGTCTTGATAGGTGGCAGGAGTCAAGAAAATAAATTTTCTTTCCCATAAACAGTCATGTAGACTTTGAGTTAAAAAGTTTTCTCCCTAAAATTGAAAGTAAATTTATAATATAAGTATATTTTGATTTTTTAACAACTGAATACCTTCATTCGAAAACAAACGAGTCCTAGTATTTGTTCAGTAATGACTTCAAATCTGCTGTCGGATTTGACGAGAGATTCAAAATGCTGGGCTAGACTTATTGAGTCACGGATATATTTTTGAAGACCTGAAATTCCGTAAATTCTTAAAACGAACCAGAGTTTCAAAGAACGAAAACGTCTTCCCAATGGAATTTGCCAGTGCTATAAATTAAATTAAAATTTTAATTTAAAAGTTTAGAAAATCCAAAAGTGCACGACTTATAATGCTCATTTAATTATGAAATATTAATAAAATAAAGAATGTTAAAAAAAATTTATAAAACAGCTAAAATAGCACGATAATATGCAAGTGCCTCTAATAGTGGGATGAATGTACACAATAGGGGAGAGTGGAACACGGCGGCCCACCTCAAAAATTAGGTAAAATTTTTTTTTTTACTTTCAGTCAAATTATGACCTCTATGATGTTTTTATGATATTTTGGGCCAATATGTGATATGTGGGGTATAATGGACCACTCGAAAAAAAAAAATTGTATCGAAAAAATGATTTTTTTTTTCGAATTGTTAGAAATTTAAAGAATTAATTTTTTTAAGCCTTTTTTCAGGTCAGCGGTATTTATCTGATGTAAAATAGATGAGGAAAAAATTTAGTTGAACTGAAAAATTCAACAAAAAATTGAATTATATAGCTTGTAAAAAATTGAAAACAGTTTTTTGAAATTAAAACAGTAATTTAATTATATTATTAATTATTGATTACGGTATCCTCTGCGTCAGACAGAAACCCAATCTCAGTCCTATTTGAGTTCCTCCAAGGATGTCTTACTCTACGCAATTTATATTTCTAATTTTGGCTTGATAAAAATATAAAAAAAAAAAGGATCTGGTTCAAGATATTACGTATTTTAAAAGCTCAATCTGAAGACGACATGTGATTTCAATTCATGTAAATTAATGTAACCAGATAATTGCTGAATACTATCTCTGTTTTTTTTCTTGTGCGTAGGTTTAAAACCTCTAAGTGCAACAAACGAAATTAATTATTATCTGTTTAAAACTAATTAACAGCTTAACAATAAAATTTATAATAATTTTTTAAAAACGTTAACGAAAATTCAACTTTGAATAAAACATGAAATATAAATTTTCGATACTTTGAAAATCACATCGAAATAATTTAATATCGACGGTCTAATTAGCAATTGGTCTGACTCCTTATTTTTTAGAGGGTGATTTTTTATCATTTTGATATAGTAATAGACCAATTATAAATTATTTGAATGATCCTAACCACAATATTATACCTCTATTATTAAATGATTTACTAAAGTGATACCTAATATTAAATGGTTTATGAAAGTGATAATACATTTCAAACTAATTGTATTTTCATAGAAGATTCACTAAAATGGAGTTAGACAATTTGCTCATTAGAACGTCGATATACGATTATTTGCAATGATCACAGAAATATTTGTCGGAATAATCTTTGTCAATACTTGCGCAAAAATCATGAGACCATTTTTATTGCAATTTTTACACTGAATCCATGACTCTGTGGATTCTGAGTAAAGTCAATTGCAATAAAGATAATGGCAATCATGATTTTATATTTTAAAAATTTTTTGGTTTTATTTTAATTAAATTTTTATTTTTTTTATTGTTTAACTGAGATCCTTTTTTTTGCTTCATTTTGATCTTTTTTTTTCTTTGAGTTCTTGACGATACTTGACTCGTAAAAATCGTGGTTTTCTCTCTACGACTTTTTCTGGGAGGAGAATCTCCAGATTTTGGTGGTAATGGCTTCCGTAAAAAAAATTTTTTTGTGTGCTTTTTTCGGGGAGTGGGCCGTCGTTCCCCAGAAAAAAAATTTTTTTTTTTTATTTTCTGCAAAATTTCGGCTGATTTATTCGAAATAGACGGAAAATAAACAAATTTAATGGTTAGAAACCACAAAAAAAAATAATCAGCTTAAGTGGGCCGTTGTGCCCCACCCTCTCCTATATATAGATATAAAGTCTTCTAGTTTTTGTTTTATTTTATCAATTGTAAATAAACGACACTGAATTACCTAGCCATTCGCATTCGGTGACCTACAATTCTTTCAAGGAATTTTTTAAAAAATAATTCAACTCAATTAATGCATTTTTTTTGTAAGTTACAGTGTTTCCGGAGTTTCGTATATTGCGGACAGGAAATTTTTTTGACCTATTTTGATGTTTATTCCCGTTTCCATTGCACTAAATTAATTTTTGAAAAGTGTAAAATTAATCTCCATTAAATTATCTTGACAATAGTATGCAAAATATATTGATTCCGTGAACTAACAAGTCTACAATCATAAAAATAGTTGCCGAAATGAGGCGAAAAAAATTTGTCGATCGTAAAGCACTCTCCGATGCTTCGCACCATGAGTCGTGCAATTAGATAATTATCATGTTAAATTCATAACTTACACGATAATCTGGCAGCAAGCCAAAGTTTTTACAAGGTAGATAAACCCGGTCGACGCAGAAGGCTTCAAGAAGATTCCTCGTATCTTTTATCCTGATAAAAATTAAGCAAGTGAATATTTTTAATTTCCCACTAAAATTTTCAGATTTTCAAAAATCGGGAAGTTATTGTTTTCACCCCGTTTTGCAAAAATCAAGTATTCATCAGATCTCGACGTTTTAAGGCCATAGGAAGTTTCCCTGACTACCCCCGTGGTGGTGTCCGTATGTCTGTACGTGCGTGTGTGTGTGTGTGTGTGTGTGTGTGTGTGTGTGTGTGTGTGTGTGTGTGTGTGTGTGTGTGTGTGTGTGTGTGTGTGTGTGTGTATGTGAACCTCTCGTAACTTTTAAACGGCTTAACCGATTTTATCGCGGTTGATGCCATTTGAAAGGGCTTGACCAAACTTAGATTTCCATTACACATTGGACCGATTCGGACCGATAGATTTTGAAAAATCGCAAAAAAACTACAAAAAAAAATTTTTTCAAAAGTGGTTTTTTTGGAATAACTTTTAAACGGTTTTACCGATCAATTTTAAAAACTAATCAGCTCTTAACATCAAATAACCACGTCGATCGCCGCCATTCCGGTCAAAATCGGTTAATTCGTTGGTGAGTTATCGTTGACGAAAGAAAACCGAAAAAAGCGTTTTTTCGGAATTACTCCGAATTTTTCCACTCTGTCGATATAAACTCAAAGATTTTTTATGAAGCTTAAAAAACTGTGTCGAATGCCACCAACCGCGTGAAAATCGATTCATTCATTCAAAAGTTATTGCGATTTGAAAATAAAAAAAATTAGGAAAACGCCCGGAAAACGGTTGACCCTGAAGGCCATCCCTGCAACTTCCCGCCAATTCTATACCTAAACGCTTGAAATTGCACTTATGACGTTTTAGAGCTCTTCGAGCTCTTAAAGACAATTTGTGTATTATTTTGAGCTCTCCGAGATCAAAAAATAGCTTTTGTATGCTTTTGAGCTCTTCGAGCTCAAAAATTTGATAGAAGTTTGATAAAACACTATTTTTTTTATTTTCAAATCGCAATAACTTTTGAATGAATGAACCGATTTTCACGCGGTTGGCGGCATTCGATGCAGTTTTTTAAGCTTCATAAAAAATCTTTAAGTTTATATCGACAGAGTGGAAAAATTCGGAGTAATTCCGAAAAAACTCTTTTTTCGGTTTTCGAAGAGCTCAAAAGCATACAAAAGCTATTTTTTTGAGCTCGGAGAGCTCAAAACAATACACAAGTTGTATTTATGAGCTCGAAGAGCTCTAAAACATCATAAGTGCAATTTCAAGCGTTTAGGTATAGAATTGGCGGGAAGTTGCAGGGATGGCCTTCAGAGTCAACCGTATTCCTAATTTTTTCTTTAAACAATCACCCAAAGTAAGCAAAAATATTTACCAAAATGCAGAGCAATCGTAATTAGTGAGAAGCCATTTGTGAGGATTGAAATTGAATGAATCAGTATATTTGATACCAGACATCAAGGATCTATACTCAGGACATATTAAAGCTGCTCCTGTGATGAAAATGAGAACTTGAAACAACGAAAATGAATCTAATTAAATAAAACATACCTGCATAAGCAGCGTCAACGTGAAGCCATATATCATTGTCATTGCAAATTGGTCCTATTTCCTCTAAATTATCAAACGCACAGGTACCAGTAGTTCCGAAAGTTGCGACAACATAACAAGGAATCAATCCTGCTTCTCGGTCTTTTTTAATTTCTTTCAATAAAGTTGCGCCACGAAGGCTACATTTCTCATCAACAGGCAACAGTTTCATTCTCATTGATCCGAGGAATCCTGCCTTTTCAACTGACGAATTGGATTGACCTGGAAGTAAAAACTCATAATTAGCAATATCTTTTTAAACAATATATTCTCGATTTTTATCAAGTACTTACTCGAAGTATAAGCAACTAATTTAGATTTTATCAATTCTTCATCCATATTTGGATTATCTTTTTTAATACGTTTTACCATACGATTTTTCGCTGTAAGCAAAGCGATAAGAGTTGTTTCACTTGCAGATCCCTGAAACAAATTAGTGATTATATGACTTTTAAAAAACAGTTTTTGATAATTTTTTGCTATTCATAAGTATGGTATTAAAAAAAAAAGAGCTCTTTACAATATATTCTGTTTTATCGACAGCTAGTTTAGTTCTTATCATGTTATTATTAATGTAAGTTCATTCTTTTACTGTGGCGCTAGTAGTGCATATAAACAAGTTTTAGGATGCAATAGATAGTTGATAAAACTTATTGGGAATATGGAAGACTTAAACCATGGAGAATAGAATGTTATAACTCTCAATATTCACACAAATTGAAATGCAATGATAAGTAGAAGAATTACTAGAAGAAAATTGGATTGAATTTAACCTAACGTCTAAACATATTATTGGAAAAATATATCTTATATGGATGATAAGCTTTATGAAAAGTTACTTGATTATTGATAATAGTTTTTGAACTGTTGAAATTTTGCCAACGAAACTCAGTAATGATCATCAAAAAGATTAATAGAAACTTTTAATTCCGGTTTTCTAAACATCATATTACAATAAAATAAATGGAAGAATAATTGATCGTATAAACTTAGAATTTTTATACTTTAAAAAGGTCTGACTACCAATTGAACGTGTTGACTGAATTGTAGAAGCAATCAGTGTTTCCATTGTAATGAGATGATCAGCAGATGATGGATTATACTTGATACATAATTTTGGGTTATGAAATCGATTTTAACGCTCCAAAATAAATGGTCTATGGGGGTTTTCGTCCTTGGGTTCAAGGCGTACCTGTTGATTATAACCTATATCTTCGGCTCGTTGGTCTAGGGGTATGATTCTCGCTTAGGGTGCGAGAGGTCCCGGGTTCAAATCCCGGACGAGCCCGATTTTTTGGAAATTTTTGCAACAAAGATCATTGAAAGTCATAATCATCATACTTACTTGTACAACTCCACCACCAGGACCTTGGTTGCTATTTAAGAACTCTTCTGGCAATCCTAACATCTTGCAAAGCCAGTCCATTGTAACAGCTTCAAGCTCCGTCATAACAGGCGAAGTTAACCATGAAAGGCCAATCCCTCCTATTCCAGCGCTGAGAAACTCTCCAACTATCGATGGGTAAGAACAAGCACTAGGACAGTATCCATAGAAGTTTGGAGATGTCCAATGCGTCATCTAAATCATCCATAGTTACTTGTTTCTATAAAATTACACTTTAAAAAATATCAACTTACCCCAGGCACAATGACTCGTTCGATATCATCAAAAACATTTTTCCAAGATTCACCATTCTTAGGAGCCTCCAATGGAATTAGTTTACTAAGATATCCTGGTTTAACATCAGGAATTACTTTTCTAGTTCTTGAAGTTTTCTTATAGTCGACAATTTTATCAACAATTGCTTTAGAAAACTCTTTGAATTCTATTTCGTTCATTTTTTTGATGTTCTGCAAAAAGCGAAACTAACCCTGGTTAAGAATACTGATTGAAAAGAATTGAGAAACAGTCACTCCATGCAACTTGTATATCTATATACATATACAAACAAAAAAATTGAAATTATTGAAAAGAATTCGAATTTCATCATTTTTAATTCTTTTTCAATCAATATTTATAAACAAGAAAGTCAACTACCGAATTATGATTTCTTTCCATTTTGGATTCAATGTCTTCTTATTTGTGAATATTAATTTCTGGTAAACTCAATTTATAATTATTATTCTTACCAATGTAAAAAATGTCAATAATATAAGTTATTTTTAATTAAGATATTATTTAAATACTGTCAAAATGTTTAATAAAATAATTAAAAAAAAAGAAGTAAAAATATTGCCTAATTTTGAGTATTTTTAGTAAATTACCCTTCAAAAGTAAGCCATTAGGTATAAATAACGATTATGGATAGTTAAAATAAGTACATAAAAGTAGTTATGATAATTCTGGTAAAGATGCAATTAAAAGACAGTTTTTATCGTTTTTTAAACTCTTTATTGCCTATAATAATAATGACAATAATATTTACAAAGCCTCGTGGAACCTTAAAACTAATTACATTAGAAATTCATGCTAAAAAGCTAAGAATTTTATAAAGCAATGTGAAAACAAAACTCAGTGGTGACAAAAAAGAAAAGAACTAGCCTTGAAAAATTAAAAGGAAAAAGAACAAATCATGATATTTTTTGCGAAACTTTGGCTTTGTTGATATTTAAGCCTTCGATTCGGGCAGTTATGGCCCCCAGGTGTTTTCCCGAGTGTTCGAGTTTTTTGACAGGCTTTTCGGCGGATTCGATGCCCGTTTGATGTGTCTGGGAATTGATAATTTCAGAAGCTTGGCTTGTGATCTCATTCCAGGCATAATCAATGTCCTCCTCGAGACAGAGACGACTGCATACAACAAACCGGATGATTAATCGGTCTTGATATGTGGCTGCCGTTAGATAAATGCGTTTTCGCTTCAGTATGCGGTCATAGAGGTCCCGCGTTAATGAATTTTCTCCCTACAGAAATAATAAAGTGTCTTTAATCAAAGATTCTGACATGTATAATGTATAAACCATAAGTACCTTCAATCTGAAGCAAATGAGACCCATCGATCGTTCAGTGACGATTTCAAATCTCTCGTCAGACTGAACTCGAGACTCGAATCTCTTGGCTAAGTTTATCGAGTGCCGGATGTGTTCCTGAAGACCCTCAATTCCGTACAAACGCAAGACAAACCAGAGCTTCAGAGCACGGAAACGTCTTCCCAATGGAATTTGCCAGTGCTAAAAGTACAGTTTAATTAAATATCATATCAATGACAACTTTGCGACAAATTCGAGATAACTTACGCGATAATCTGGACATAAACCCTCCTTGTCGTGCGTTAAGTAAATTCGTTCGACATTGAAAGCCTCGATGAGACTTCTGGAGTCTTTAACCCTGAAAAAATCTTAGCATGTCAACAATTATAACGGTTTATTGTCTTCCAATGAAACTAAGACTTACCAAAGCGCAGAGCAATCGAAATTAGTGAGAAGCCATTTGTGTGGATTGAAATTGAACGAGTCAGCGTACTCAATTCCAGACATCAAGTGTCTGTACTCGGGACACACAAAAGCAGCGCCTGAAGAATAAAATATTAATATCATCTCATATCATCAATCCATGATTACTATCACTATCAACTATAACAAAGATGAAAGCTCATAAATACCCGCATAAGCAGCGTCAATGTGAAGCCAAATGTTGTTCTCTTTGCAAATCGGTCCTATTTCTTCCAAGTTATCAAATGCGCAGGTACCGGTAGTTCCTAAAGTAGCAACAATATAACAAGGAATCAATCCAGCCTCCCGATCTTTTTTCATCATTTCCAATAAAGTCGCGCCACGGAGGCTGCATTTCTCGTCTACTGGCAACAATCTCATTGGCATCGAGCCGAGTAGCCCTGACTTTTCCACCGAAGAGTTAGATTGGTCTGCAACAACCAAAAATGTATGCATTACCGCACTTTCCAAACTTTAGTTGCTCTTGCTATTATTTCTACACTTACTCGAAGTGTAGGCGACTAATTTGGATTTTATTATCCCTTCGTCCATATCTGGGTTTTCTTTCTTGATGTGTCTCACCATGCGCTCTTTGGCTGCCAGCAATCCAACCAAAGTTGCTTCACTTGCCGATCCCTAGGAACAAAATATTTTAATTTCAAGTAATACAAATTCATAATTTCTAAATGATATTTTTACCTGAATAACTCCGCCACCAGGTCCTTCACTGCAGTTGAGAAATTCCTTGGGCAATCCCAGCATTTTCCCGAGCCAATTCATCGTAACAACTTCTAATTCCGTACAAGCCGGGGATGCGATCCATGAAAATCCGACACCTCCGATCCCAGCGCTCAATAATTCACCCACAATTGCTGGATATGAATTAGCAGTCGGGTAATATGCATGAAAACGTGGTGAGTTCCAATGTGTTACCTACATCACCGTAATTATCATCAGATCACTTAGAGAATTATCACACAAGATGAATAAGTATTAATAGTAATAAACTTACACCCGGCATAATAACTCGCTCGATATCACTGAATACGTCTTGCCACGATTCACCTTTTTGAGGGGCCTCTTCGGGAATCAATTTGCTTAAGTATCCTGGCTCGACATCAGGCAAGACCTTTCTATCCCTCAAACTTTCGTTGTAATCAACGATCTTGTCAACAGTCGCTTTTGCGAACTCCTTAAATTCTTTAGCTTCCATTTCAAAAGTCACTGATCTGTTTTGCGCACAAATGAATCTCAATTGTTTTGTTATTTTAAAATATTTTTTATCTGACGAAATATCACTGTTAAGTAGATGCGTGTTAGCCGAAAAACTTTCTTTTACTAAATGATCGTTGCGGATGGACCCACTGATATTTATACACAACCACTTAAAAGACTTTCTCTCGGCTTTCTCTTCAATAATTCAAAATATAAAATCGCTACCACGTGCAATGATTGTCCCAACAGCTCTTTATTTAAATGATAATAAATTCTATTTTTTAAATAAACAAATATCTCGGTCAAAACTTTTTATCGCGTGTTTACGTAGAAATATGTCCTTCTAAAAAATAATTCATTTAATTATTATCATTTTATTCATACAATAATTATTATAATTATCATATAATACAATACAAAAAATAATAAAAATACTTGCTATTTATTAGTGCGGCCAAATGAGGTCAAAATAATTTTTATTATCGCTCAACTAATCGCCAACAATTCAGATTTACTATTTTTCCAGACTGTGAATTTTTCATAATTTATCCAGGCTTTATATATTAATTCTCCCATCACTCGATAATACCCATTCATTTTTTCAAAGTTTATTAGTTCTCGGACAATAGATTAAACCCCACCACGTTTTTTTTTATATTTTTTTTACTTCATTGTTATTATCATAATAACTACAGTACTTGACCATGTCCTTGTAGGTGTGGATGCCAATAGTACGGAAATAAAATTCAAAAAAGATCATTTTATAGCTTAATTCCTAAAAAAAGCTGGTGCAGCCACGTTGATCATTCATTTCCTAATATTGCTTCTTGCGTTTGACCATTTTAAACTCGGGAGCAATTAAAACTTAAACTTCTGCAATAAATTTCCTTATTTCATTAAAAAAGAAAAAAAAATTCCTAACATACAAACTAGTACTAATATTCAATAAAACAGGTAGAATTGTTTCAAAAGATAAATTAAATTTAAGAATTTCCCAATTGATAGGCCGATTTTATCTTTAAGCACAATCAATTCTTCTTTCTTCTCTAGAAAAACTCGACGAATCGATAACAACAACAGTTATCTTTCCATGAACAAAAAGAAGTCTATTAGAAGCCGATTACGGTTTGCATAAATCGTAATATTTAAATGAGGAGTCTTAATTGGGTCGAGCGTATGATTACTGTACTTAATGATTAAGTGATTAGTGGTTGTGTGAGGAGATATTGTACGGTAAATTACAGATTCAATGGAAAATTTATTATATAAAAAATCTAGATATGTGCAGAGGTATTCAATTTAATTGAAATAATATATAAGAAATCATGACTTCCTGATCGATCAAAGAAGTTGCGATGAAAACACGGGATTTTCACGCCTCCGCGATCACTTGAACATACCTTATAACATGTACCAGTTGATTGGTCGCGCATGACGGCACTTCTTTATACTTATGTAATTTTTATTATGTTATGTACTTCGCTGCTACCGGTTGGACTCGCGCCAGAGCTGACCAGCTCCAGCTTTTTGCCGATTATCCTTGACATTGACCACTCTATACAATATTCCATCGAAAAAAAAAGATCTAATTACCATTATTGGTTATCAATAAGCCAAATTTATACGCTCGAGGATTTCTGATTTAGATTGTTGACTAGATCGCGATATACCGGGATTTTTTTTACATTCAATCCTAAAATTGTTTCCTGGTGTTATATAAAATTAAACTTTTCAGAAATTGAGTCATCAGCAAATCCCGTATGGTTTTAAATTAAATATTTATTTATAAATTGTTAATGTAATCATGGAAAAATAGAATCATGGCTATTATGTTAATAAATTACTGAGATACTTATCAAAGCTTTATGATCATTCATAAACTGTATAAGTAATTGTAAAATGATGAGTCAATTATTTTTTATTACTGAGAAACTATTAAAACATTGTCGAGGTAGAAATTCCATGGCCGTAATGGTTATTTTCATTGTAAATATTATGTAATTTTTCAAAATATTTTTCGCAATTAAATCGGTATTCATTTCTGCGTTTGAAATCCCGCTCCACCGAGTTTCGGTGTATGTACAACGGGGGCGTAGCTCAGATGGTAGAGCGCTCGCTTAGCATGCGAGAGGTACCGGGATCGATACCCGGCGCCTCCAAATACTTTTTTTTTTTTTTTTCGTAAATTTTATTATTCTAAGTGCTTAGAACTTTGATTTAATTAAATTTCCAGACAAATTAGTCGAGTAGTTTAGAAGTTATAAGACAAAAACTGCTCTTCTAAATCAAATTAGTAAAACGTATTCTATTTAGACGAATTTATGACTAACTTTTGAACACAAAGAAATCCATTTTTTTTTTCACCATAATCTCACATATTTTCATGTAGGATCCTTAAAGTCAAAAAAATATCACTATTATCATCATTAAATTCCATTATTCGTATCGAAAGCTTTCGGCCTAAATTTTCAGACAATCTTTAAAACTTCATACTTTCTAACTTAAAAGAGGACATTTTAGTTTTTAAGTGCTCTTGGTTGCTTTTAAGCTACATGACCTATCTCGGACTCTCATATTGTCTTTTCACGGCATTGTGCACAGGTGTTACGTCACCTAAATGCTGGTGCATTTGCATAGCGTGTATAGGCTGTCTGCAAAGTATACAAATGCATATATCGTTTACACAACAGTAATTTTGTGTGTGAGTGTGAGTGTATATGTATATATATATATATTTATACATATATTCGTAGATGTACATACATGAATGCGAGTCCACGCAATTTTAGATCAGCCGTGGATGCACTCAACAAAATTAAACCCCCGATCCCTCGTCCATTCTGTTCCTCGGTATCGAGTTTACTGTAGCACAAGTACATCAAGAAAGAGAAAACCATATCAATGTAATATAATGTAAGCTCGCTGGTCTATGGACCAGAAACTTAACGTGCTCTGTTCGTAGTCGATCGAACTTTATTACAAACATACCATGCTGACTATTTTTTTGAGTAACTGAGGGAATAATAAATGAAAAATTAAAAATAAACCTCCAACAACATTGAAGAAAAAAAATGCATAGCAGAAATTAAACTAAACATTAATTCAAAATGAAATATTCGTTGTTTCGTGAATGATTTTAAATATTGCGAAAATAACGATAGCAATTACTGTTTTTAAGTTGACGCTTCATGGCTTCTTGGCGACATTAAGTACAGACCGTCTTGTCTCTCTTGTTCCATTCTCAGTTGGATAGGAGAAAAATGTGGAGCATTGATAGCGATGAGGATGTCGCGGGTATATAAGGTGTGGGAGCTAGTAAGAGTGTGAGAGATGAGAGATGAGAGTGAAAGAGAGTTTTGTACAGCTGTATAGTTGTATAGAGGGATATCGAACGAGGGATAGGAGTCCAGAGAGGCGGAGTCGTCCAGTTGCCATGGAAACGTGACACTCTTTCACGATAGAACTGTGCGATGTATAATACTACGTTGGCGAACTTGCTGTGCCGAGCTTTCGCATCCGAGTTCGTCGGCTTTTCCGTCTCTGCAGTACTCAGTGCTATCCACCCTTGCCCTCTCGCTTCAGCTTTTTCGAATGCTATCTAGGAGCAACTTTTGGCCAAGATTTACTCGTCTTACGGTTTTACGACTCTAAAAGTACGAAACTTTAAAAGATATCCATACGTCTTGAATATGGATGTTTGGAAAATTTTACACCAGATCTGAAAGCTTGCTAAACTATGGTCATGTTGAGTTTTTAAGAGTTTCACTTAGTTTTGAGAAATAAACTACTGTTGAAATCTTTTTTATCGTTTGAGAGTCTAAAATTGAAAATGGGGTGGATCAGATCTTGAAATAGATCTATATTGATAACATGTCACATTATAGACCTCGAAACCCAGAAATTTGATATGATCATGTTGAGTTTCTTTTCTTGGCTATTGATGTGTGGCTGTTTCTCTCATCGTTTGGGAGTCAAAGAAGCCAAATTCGGGTATATTGTATTTCAAAATTGATACTCTAGGTTGACCAGACCTGCGCTGACAAAATGATGTTGATTTAAGAAAAATAATTTTGAGCCAAAATAAACATAGACAAACTAGAGTAATTTTGACTCATGAGAAAACGATTGAATTTTTTCTTTTTAGCGCACACTCCAAGCCTGCCAAATTTCTTACTTTTGTTAATATGTATCAAAAATTTTTTGAAACAAAAAGACTAAAAGTTCCAAAAATTTGAATTAAAAAATAAGAATAAAAATATCTCTGGTAATAGAACAGAGTTTGAATCTTCTAGTACTATATAAATACAGTAATTCAACGAAGTATAGCGAAAAGATGTCGCCAAGAACCGCATATATGTGGAAATATTCATATATAATATACTGAGGGTCCGAATAGAATGAGAAAAGCTCGCTCTAGTCATATCAGCCTGGGTTAGTGTCAGTGTGAGTAATATAATGTACGTGTGGATGTGTGAAGTAGGTGGAAAGAGGTTGAGGAAGCGTATAAGCCGAGTTTCCCGAGTAAGAGGAAAGAGGAAAAAGGAGAATGAGTATAGGAGCGCAGAAAAGTCCAGATGACATATGCAGAACGTAGCCACCTCTATATATTACCGGAGCTATTTCCCGAGAATTTACTGCGATCTACCTCGCTTTTCTCTTCCATTCCGGTAGCGAATATTCTTCTTTTATTTTTGGCTATATACCTTTTCATTCTCTCCTCACCATCACACTTGCAACACATCCTACACCCATACAAATGTATCTCATCGTGGGCTCACGGCTCTCAAGCTAAAGTAAAGTAAAGTGAAGAGAAAACGTGCAATTCGCGAGCCCGATCAACTTTTCTCTGCGTGTCAAAGCACTTCTCTTTTATTCTCCTGATACGGTAACCCTCTTTGCCTTGTTTTATTTCTAAATAAATAAAAAATTCAATATCCGATGAAATTCTGCTCGTTGTTCTGTAGAGCTGGAAAAAAAATATCGTTTGCAAAAAGTACGACATTGCACTGTTCGAGTCAGAGTTTCAAGTTACAGGCTCATTCTGCAAGGAACAGATCAGTAAATTCTCAAGAATGAGACAAGCAATAGGGCGTTGGTGGTTGCTAGACCAAATTGGTCCTGTCGCTGAAAACGTGTTACTTTTATACTCATTTATTACTGTCATACTTATTAACTTTGTGTATGTGGAGCGTTTTGTTCTAAATTGGCTGCGAAAATTTGGACTCTTTTTTTCTAAGTCGAACTTATGATTGGGAAGGTCATTGAAAAATAAATTAGCTGATTCGAGATAAATGTTCGTTAGAAATAATTTAGTTTTTTTCTTCAGTAATGAAATTAAAATCAAATCTTGGACAGTAATAATTTCTTTAAATTTTACAATAAAATGAAAAAACTTAATCATGGTTCGCGAAGAAAATTTGCGGAATAAACCCAGAGGAATTCGTATTCCTACCGCGAGTCGTCGTAAACCCTGAACTTTCTCATTGGACAATTCCCGAGGATAAGGATGAAGACGAAAATGTTCTCGATGAGGGTCTGCTCGGGGATGATGAGGCCGGAGCGAGCGAATAAGAAAATGACATTTCTTTATACCCTCTTTAGACAGTGTGTAGATGTAGATGTAGATGTAGATGTAGATGTAGACGGAGACGCAGACGCAACGGCGGGTTGTGTCACGTACCAGACACAACCTACAAGAAAAGCTCAACTTGTATTCTACTCTACACTCTACTCTTGCCATGTATTATACACAACATCGGG